TACAGAAGTATGGCCTCTACTAGCGAGGCCGATGGTAGTTCCATAATGTGGGTAGTTTACTGTCTCCGGAACGCCTGGGCGGCGCCGGGAGGCATACGTCCGTCAAAGGGGAAGCCATGACCATCGGGCCCAGCCGGACCAGGGAAGCCAGGCATTCCCGGGGGAGGAATAAATCCGGGAGGGGGGCCACCGAAGAAACCCGGAGGAGGAGGCATGTTGCGTGGTGGGGGGCCTGCCATGGCCTCGGGAGGAGGGAACGCTCCAGGAGGGAAGTTCGGGGGGAACATAGCGGCCATCGGGTGGTTACGGCCAGGACCACCGGCGAGACCAGGCGGCGGGACCATGGATCTCTGTTGAGGGGGCATGGGGGGACCGCCGCCGCCCTGGATCCAGTTGGGGTTCATTTGGTCCAAACCGGGAGGCGGGGGCGGACGTTGCAAAATCTGCGTGGGCTGCATGCGCGCTTCTGGCTCGGGGTGGTGGAAGGCCTCATCCATGAAGCCAGGCGGGCCTTGGCCACGCATCTGTCGCTGAGAACCACGGCCGCCCTGCGGAAGTCCTTGCGGATGTCCCTGCTGGAAGTCGGGCTCGCGGTCTTGAGCATGCGGAATCTGAGCGGCCCGCTGAGGTTGCGGCATACGCATGAGGAGCTGCTGCTCCGTTCGCGGGGGTTCGGGCTGGTTTCTCATCAAGTTCATCAAGAACTCGGTGTTGCTCAAGTTGCGGCCTTGGTTTGGCTCCATTCGGCCGGAGCCCTGGCTAGAAGCCTGGTGGCGCTGTCCAACCAGCTCCTGAAGCAGTTGGTCTTGACGAGCAGCGGGCGGCTGCTGCTGGTGAGGCATCGTTGGACGGGGGGCAAGTATGTCTGACATTGACATGGATCCCTGCGGCATGCGAGGGCGGGGATCCTCTCTGCGCTCGCCGCCATACTGCTGGAATGGCTCAGGCGACGCGACAGAGCTGGAGGGAGCATGCTCGCGGACTGGCGGGGGAGGCGCCTGGAATGGTTGCGATGCAGGCGGTGTGGCTGATTGAAGATTTGAACGCTGCAGCTTCATGAGCAGAGCTTGGAAAGCTTGCTTCTCATTGTCGGGAGCCGGTCCAGATAGATCAGGGCCACCGAACGGAAGACCAGCCATTGGCGTCGAAGGCTCCGTCTTCATCCGTTGGTTGGGGTCATCCTGTGGGGCATTGAAGAATGACGTGAATCGAGAGGACTTGCCACCGCCTGTCTTGGGCTTGGAAGGAGTCTCTCTCTTGGGCTCGCTCGGGGAGCTGACGTCCAAGCCAGCGCCAGAAGCGAACTTGAGGAAGAACTGGTCAGGGCCGATCTCAACAGCAGGTGCGGAGGCAACAGCTGGCTGCTCGGCTTTGATTGCAGCCTCGACTGCGGCAACTGGCGCTTTATCCTCGGCAGGACCATTGCGACTAGCCTTCATGCTTTCCATGAATTTCTTGAAGTCCTCCTCCGTGTGGCCTCCTGCCTTTTCTCCGGCAGGTTCGTCGAACCATTCAGGCTCTCGCTCTTGTCTATGTTCACCGCGCTCCCAGCGACGCTCATAGTTCCTGCCAGTGCTCTTTTCTTCGACGGGCTCAGCCTCACGGTTTCGGTCTCTCCAGCTCTTGGCCCGGTCAATGCGCTCGCGAGCCGTCAATGGAGGCTTCTCAGGAGTGCTGACATTGTTGGTATTGCTACCGGCGGCGCTGTTTTCGTTCTTGAACCAGGGTTCCGACTTGCCCCTGCTAAGGCCATTTCGGGGCCGCGGCTCAGCTTCCTCGTGGTCATGCTCCTTGTCGTGATGATCGAAGTTGCGGTGAGTACGGTCTCTTGGGCCCTCGCGGTCTTCGCGATCACGGGGACGACGCTCGTTGGGGAGCCTGTCGCCACCACCGGCGCCCATACGACCTTGGAAGCGCTCGGCGCCCTCATGGCCGAAGCTCTTGCGCGGCTTCACTGTACTCCATCCCTCCTGATCTTGCGGATCGCCGTCGCCGCGACGACGACCAAAGTTTGTGTTTCTCGAATCGCGGAAGCGATCGCCTTCGGGGGTATCACCGTTGCGATTGCGAAAATTGAAGCGGCTAGGCGAGTCAGCGTCCTTGAGGCCCTTGTCATTGTCAAAAGGCTTGCCATTGCGCAGAGTCGCAGAGGCGAAGGCAGTTCGAGGAGGTCCGAGAATGATGTCTTCGGGGTCTGAAATTGAAGTTTGGGTTAGTTACGAGACAAGTACTCAAAGGGCGAGGCGAGGGAAATGAGGGGACAAGGAGGTGGAGACATACTGGCGCTGTTTCGCGAGACGTGGCGGTCAACGCCAGGACGACGATTTGTCTGATCAAGCAAGGGATTGTCGTGGCTTCTTCTGTCAGTAGTGGTTTTGGCGACGTTGGTCTGGGTTCGATTATTATCGGGAGGTGGTCTGAGAAGAAGAGTTAGAAAAGGGAGGAGTTGTGTCCAAGGATTATGGTGACGGCATACCCCATCCATTCTTCAGCGGGCGGTAAAGCAGATGGTTTGATGCATAGTGGTGATTCTCGCAGGTGAATGAGGAGCTCTGCCGAGTACTGAAGTGCCATAGCAGCGGGATGATGCAAGGCGCATCCGATGACAGGTTGGAAGGCTATTGATGGTGTGGCAAGGGTGATGTTTGCATGAGCAGACGGCGATGATTCGGTCGACAGAAAGAAGGGAGGAGCTGTCGTAGGTAGAGTGGTTCACCAGCTGGAGAGGAGATGGATGTAGTATTGTGGTACTGGTAGGTGTTGGGGCGTTTGGCGCTCAAGGCTGAGGTTGTATTCGTCGATGCCGTCGTTGTTATTGTTCTTTCTACGTCACAAGGGGTGAAGAGGGGAGTGGTGGTGGTTGTGGGTGGTGTCGAGGAAGGTCAAGTCCAGTCGGTCGGTCGGCGATCGGTCTCGGTCGCAGTCGATGGCCAAGTCAGAATGGAAGACGGTAGGAAATGGGACAGGACAGGACGGGAGTGTCTGTACGGAATACGGAGTATCCGTAGGACAGGCTCCAATCGGGCTGCGCTAGAGAGCGCGGGCAATGGTTGGGTAGCTTGTTGCGACGAGGCTGGCAATCAGAGACGGGCAAGGCGAAGAAGCTACGATGGTTTGGTGTTTGGACGGTAAGGTAAGGTAGTGTAGAGTGATGCAATATTTGATGCGGAGTGAGAGATTATTGTGATGGGCGAATTTCGGCAGCGAACTGTCAGGGCGTATAAAGGTAAGGTAAGGTAAGGTAAGGTAGGTGGTAGGTAGGTAGGTACGAATAGAGATGGTGCAGGTGGTCAAAGGAGGTTTTGGCACTTGGGACGAAACCTGGTGGAGGAGGTGCTCAGGTGCCCACTGCCCAGGTGTCCAGGTCTATTGCCTTAGCAGCCAAGCACTCCGCTCCCCACCTCACCTCTCACTGTACGTTGTACCTACGTAGCAGGGTGACAAGTACTGCGGTGTAGCTGTGCCGGGTCACCGTGTGTCCCTCACCTTCCAAGCCTCCACCCTTTCACCTCCGGTCTGAGGTCTGAGGTGAGTCTCCAATGGAGAGGACGGGAGGGAGGGATGGGTCCTGCCTACGCCTACCGCCTGCCAACCTCAAAGTCACCTTACTGTGTGTGGTATTAAGGTAAGGCAAGGCACTCTGAGGTGTCAAGAACCGTGGAAAGGCACGTAAAGAACGTAGAAGGGGCAATGGGTGTTTCCAGGTCCGTATTCGTACCTGCCCTCACCTGTTCTCACCGCGTCGGCTCACTTTCCCCTCCTTCCTGCTTCCCTTCTCCTGGCCCCTGCCATCTCGAGGCAAAGACTTGGAAGGCAAATGCACCCAACCCCTCACCCCTGCCCCTAGGCTCACCTGAGGTCAACCCATTTGTTCACCTTGGGTAACTCCTTCCACCGAGACACAATGGCTCGGTCAGAGTGCGACACCAGTCGCCACCTAACGTACGGATACTGAACATTCAATCGGCATCTCTTCATGGCGCTTACAGCAATAGTGACTTAAGTTTTACTCGATACATACCTAATGTACCCGAGGTAGCTAGCTAAGCATGCCCATGTTTCTCGAATAGGTACCTACCCGACTGGTTTAAATGTTCTGTTACCAAAGGGCCAAGGCCCATGCCGTGGGATTCTCGACCTTAAAAAAGCCCGGACCAGGAGACTGCCCAAGTTGCAGGTACGTACCTCTTCCTCGCTGAGGGATGGGGAAACAAATCGCACACTTCCGCCCCACCATCTCCTTCTTGGAGCTTAACCGAGATCTGAATGCTGCTTACCTTACCTCAACACTCAGCGTTACATCCTCCCTCTTGGAACTTGGAACACGTCCTTCATCTCATTGAAGCCATGGCCTGCTCTATATCAAGGCCGTCAATTCTGAAAATCTGCCTGTGGTATGCATTGGTCTCAGGAGATGGCAACTTACGACGATCAAGAGCCAAGCAAGATCCGACCTATCAGCATCTACACGATTGATTTCACAGGAAGTTGGGCCAGCAAAAAAAAAAATGGGACAACTGACATGGTTTCACGGCTGTCTGGAACTCATTCCCTCTCGATCCTTCTTTCCGAGCCTAGTCCCAATCTTATTTCATCCTTTTCATCTGGTTTCAAGCTTTTTACGAGAATCCCATCCTCGCCTGTCTGTTGTGGCATTAGTGGTTCTTGTAAGACACACATAATCTCGCAAGTTTGCGGCTGCTTTTTTTGTGTTCACTTACACTACAACAACTTCACCGCCTCTTGTGTTCCTCACTGTAGTTTGAACTTCATCCAAGCAAAACCCTCGAAAAAGGCAGGAGATTTGTTCTCCCCCGTCCGCATGCAACACGTTCTCGCTGTCATTCGCTTATCTTTAGATTAAATCGCCTCACACTAGTCCGAACTTGTCAATCTAGGGGTCTAAGGGTCGGGTCCACCCACGACATTTAAAAGCTTCACCCCTCTGCCACCTACCTCATGGTTTTTTCTTTGGTTGTTTTTTTTCTGTTTATTTTTTTCCGATCTCATAGTAAACCTCCTTGACATCGAAACTTACCTACTTCAGAAACCCAAACTACAGCATGGCTATTACTGAAAATCATAATTCCATCAGTAGTATACGCTCTTTACAAAGTTGAACACCGTCGTCCGGTTCAACAACCTGTTATCACTCCATAAACTCCTCCGAGGAGCCTTGATTGCTTACCACCACTCACTTTTCTAAGCTCAAAGCGACAGACGATTCTGAAAAGAGAACAAGAAGATCACCATACAGAGCTCATAGCCATAAACTGACCTCCACTACGATTCACACGAAGAACTCAGCTCACCATGAACATGCAACCGCTCACCATGAACCATGTCGACAGCGACACGGAAACTCTACTGACGAGTTATCCAGCATCGAGCCTCTCGAGACCGTCCTCCATCTCTTCTGCTCCCTCGTCCCTGGCAGTCAAGGCTTCTGACGCCGACAAGCCCTTCGTCTCAGGCTGCCCCGTCTCCTCCCTCTTTGAGATTCGTGACACGCCCACCGCGGGCCGCGCCGTCTTCGCGACCCGTGACGTTGCCGCTGGCTCCTTACTCTGGCGCTCCGACGACCTCACACTCTCAGTCCTCCTGCGGGAGTACAGGCGCGAGGTCTGCGGGCAGTGTTTTGCGTACGACTACGGCAGAGACCTGCCCATCCGTGACCAGACTGTCGGATTCGCCTTTTGCTCCGGTGACTGTCGGGAAACGTGGCGGCGGGAGACTGGCGAGGTAGGTGTCCAGGCTTGGACCGAGGTGAGTACGCTGGTCAACAAGAAGAAGGGCGGTAGCAACAACAACAACGCTGGCGGTGGTGGTAAGGCGAGGGACGAGATGGTGGACATCACCATACCAAAACCCGCGGCGGAGGAGATCACACAAGCGTGGCAGACGACCAAGGACCAGGCGGAGCTGATTCGCACACTCCGGACGGCCGAATCCTCGACAGACGACAGCAAGGGCGGCGTGCCAATCACAAAGCAACACCGCAAAGCCCTTCAAAAAGCCCTCCAGCAGCCCATCGAACCAGACGTCATGAACTTTTGCGTCGGCAGCCTCGTGGCGCTATATAACCACCCGAAAAGATGGGAACACGTCCTCTCCCTCGCCGTGGACTCGACGCCCTACATCAACACGGCCGACCTGCACGCCTTCACCGCCACTTACCTACAGCTGCTCGCGGTCCTGCCTCTGCCTCTGCTCTCCCTCGTCACGCCCGAGTCTTTGTTTCTCATCTCCTCGCGCGATAATCACAATGCTTTCGGGATCCGGTCCCTCGAGGACGAAGGGTCCGAGTTGTTTGGGTACGGGTGCTGGCCTGCGGCGAGTTACTGGAACCACTCGTGTGGGCCGAACATCGAGAAGAAGAGAGAGGGCAGGGTGTGGGAGTTTCGGGCGGGAAGAGACGTTGGTAGGGGAGAGGAGATGTGTATCACGTATTTGGGAGGAGAGGAGAAGAAGTGGTCGAGGGAGAAGAGGGTTTCCACGTTGAAGAGGAATTGGGGGTTCGAGTGTGGGTGTAGACGGTGTGAGGAGGAGTTGTAGTGAATCCAAGAAGAGTGGCTGGACTGCATGCCACCTGCAGCAGAATGATGGAATAGGTTCGTTCTGGTATTGCGTGAACGGGTATTCGCTAGAGACGAGGTTATAGATATAGAAAATAGACCTACGTATCCACATCAACTCCGTTTTATGTGTCTACTCGTATATTACATCTGATAAGCTCTACCAAGAGTTTCAGTCATGGAACATGTTGTTAAGACAATAGTCTCGGGCTAAGCACCTTGACACTCCATAGACCAAGGTAGTATTGTCTTCCTATTTTTCCAATCCAGTGGTTACATAATAACTGGGTGACTAGATCGACTAACACCTGTCTCTTAGATTGAGCCATGTAAGCACTACCTACTATTGGTTGTGACCCGACCCCAAGGACTACGGCGACTAAAGCATAAGCCAAGTAGAGTTGATGTTCCAGAAAGCCCGTTCATCAATAAGCCCTAGTCCTATATAAACTTGTATATCCAATGTACATATCAAGATCCAGCTTATTTAGAAGGAAGAACCCCGGCTGGATCCCACAAAGTCGCGACACAAATCAACTTCAGTTCTACTACTCCCAATTTCCAAACCTGGCCTCGTATTCAAATGTTATCTGACTCTCAACACATTCATTTCCTTGTGAGTCAGTACATCAAATCTGCCCAAGGTAGGTAGGCGATGGAACATGATCCCTCGCGATTTGCCTCTGAAGATATGCCATGTTCAACGGGTTGGTTTACGGTCATATCCCCCCCGTACGAATTATCAACAATCATTGCTTACCGTACTATGCTACACAGCTTTGTTTCCTGGACCTTATTCCCCTTTTCCTCGTGGTGCAGGACTGCTTGTCGTTCAATACGTAGCCGATTTCGGAAGATGAGCTCAACTTCATCCGAATCCCGATGTCAATCAAAATCCCATAATCGAGTATCACCATAATTCAGCTAGAAAGTCATTTGAAAATGCGTCGTAGTATGTACACATATTGAGGACGAGTATATTCTAAATGTCCCTGCCCTGGCTCCCATTTTCCCCTTTTTCGATTTGTACATTACGTGGTACTTACCAGCACCATACTTTTTACTTTTTCAATCCTCTTCATCTTCAACCCTCCAAACCCAAAGGGACGCCCTTCCGACTCCATTCCCCAACCCTCTCCTGATCACAAGTCTCCCAAACCCGCCTCCTCAGCGCACGATACAACCGTCTCGTCTCCCTCGTATCCGCATCAACCTTTTCAACACCACCACCACCGCTGCCACCACCACACCGGGCCTCCTGCACCTCCAACCAACTCACAATCCCAAACCTCGTCGCCAGCGTCGTGCTCCCGCCCTCAATACACGTCGCCCGCCACAAAACCCTCAAGATCCTCGTCCGCAGGTTCGCCCGCATATACGGGTTCCCCGCCAGCGCGAAGATCTTCTCGAACCACTTCTTCTGGTGATACACGGCCAAGTCCGCCGGCGTCCGCAGGCCGTCCAGCAGATACGCCAGCAGCCAGCTCACCTCGGTGTAATACCGATCGTCCTCGGACGGGGAACCATGCAAGATATCGTGCGCGAGAGGGACCTTGTCGTGTTGCCACACGGGGCCGCGAGTGAGGAAGCTGTTCACCTTTGCGTAGAGGCAGTGTAGCGGGTTCTTAAGGACCTCGAGGGAGGCGATGGCGAAGGCGACGAGGGGCGAGGCGACGGGGCCGCGGGTTACAAGGGGCCGGGACGATTCTGCTAGCTCCGAGAGGAGGAGCCAGATTTGGTCCTTTTCTTCGTAGTTTGACTCCTTGAACTTGGCTGCCATCTTCATGATGTTAGTGAGGGCTTCTTGGCGGATGCTGCCGTGCTCGGACCAGAGCAAGCGGATGAGCGCCGCGGCGTAGCCCTCGTCGACGAGGTCTTCTGCGGACTTGGAGTTCCATTTTAGGAGGGCAGAGTTGTCGTCGTCAAGTGCGTAGGGGACATCGAGGATAGCCTCTAGCGAAGCCACGTCCATTTCCTCGTCATTGACGCTCGAATTTGGTCTTTGTGATTTGGAAGCAGTGTCATCCGCTACGGTAGCCTCATCTCCAGGTTCACCGTTGAGCAAAGCCTTGTCAGTCTTGGGGATAATCGCTGAAGCACGATCTCCCAAGACCTCGGTCATCTTCTTGGCAAACGCGCCGATGACGGCCTTGGTCTCTCCCTTGGTCTGCGCGCAGCTCAGGAGCACCGTAATGAACTTGGACAGAAGCTCTAGGTCCTTCTTGTCGGTAGCCTTGTCGGCAACAAAAGACAGCTGCTCAACCATCGTAGCCAAGAGCAAGCTAGCTAAGACTTCATCCTCGCCCTGGGTCACGCTCTCCTGCATCAGGTCCACGTACTTCAGGGGCGAGGCGGCGCATCGTCCAGCACAGTTATCGACAAATTCCCAGATGAGGTCCAGGTTCCTCGACTTGCCGCTCTTCTTCAGCTCCCGCGCGGCGCAGAGAAGAGGGACGAGTCCAGTCTTTTGCAACACAAGCTGGTGCTGCACTGCAACGGACTCAAGCACCTCCTTCAACTTTGGTCGTCCCTGGGCAGCCTCGACGTAGAACTTCAGCAGCGCGACAAACGGCGACGCCGCGAGACCCTCCGTCTTGGCGAACCACCTCATACCGGGCGAATATCCGGCAATGGCAATCAAGTTCTCCAGCTCCATGAGGGCAAGCGCCTGGTTTTGCGGCTCGTCTGCACGGCTATCGAGGCGCGTAAGGGAGTTGACCAGGAACGGCGAGACGTCAAAGTTGGCACGCAGCGCGACCTGCGGGATGACTTCGTAATACAGCAGCAGCAACCTGCTGGCTGCCTCGCGCTGGAGGACATTCTCCTCCGCCATGGCCTTGTAGCACTTTGTCACCTCCTTCATATCGGGAATCTTTTGGCAAAACTCGTCAATGAGCTTGCGGCTCGCCGTCTCCCAGGTCGACTTTGACGACTCGGCCGCCTCGCGGTGCATCTTCAACGCAACCTCGAGCTTCTGCAGAGCGAGGACGAGGATCCGGACGGCAAAGAAGGAGACCAGAGTCGACTTTGACGAGAGACACCGCACCAGGTCACGCTGCTTGAGCGGGAGTGGCAGGATGTTATCGAGGAGGATAGACGTCGGCGGGGGCACACGGCGGTAGCCCGTCGTGGGGCCGTAGTGCGGCGGTAGCGGGAGGTTGACCGTGTTGAAGAGGAACGCGGCGTATCCAATCCACGTCATGGACAGCTTCGGCTCGAAAGTGAATGACTTGTTGTTGATAAAGTAACTGGCGACCAACTCGGGTGCCGACTGGAAGATGGCGACGATCAGCTCGCTGTGCTTCAGACTCGACCACGGACGCAGTTTCTGGATAAATTCGGAGAGCACAAAGTTTGCGACGGCGATGTCATCCTTGTACTTGTCCATCCACGCAACGCGCTCCAGGGCGTAGTCGTCCAAGCTCTTGACATCCTGCGCCGCCTCGTCCTCGAGCTCCTTGGGGTACAACCCCGTTCCGGAGTACAGCACGCCTGCTCCCGGAGTCGTGCAGGTGTAGAGCAGAAACTCATGAACGGATTCCCTGACCGAAGGCTGGTCATGTCCCTCGACATCGTGTCTGTACGTGTACAGTCCCGCCAGTCGATCCAGCGTCTTTGTGTTGAACGTCCTAAACTTGACCTCGCGAGGCAGCTTCTCGTCCAGCAGCACGCTCTTCTTCAGCGCGGCCAGCATCTCGACGATCAAGAACGGCGGATCATCCTTGATCAAGAAAGTCAGATGTGAAAACACCTCCTTGAGCATCAGCATCTCCTTCTTGGCCTCGGATGGCAAGAACTTGAGGCAGCTCAAGAACAGCTTAATCGCATTCGTTCGCACCGACGGCTTAGATGGGTCCTCCACCACGCCGCCCCCCCTCTCGCCGTCCGCGCCGAGGTGTCGGATCTCCAGGTTCCTCGCAAAGCTCGCAAACGTATGGTCTCGCGCACGAAAGACCCGCCTTGCGAGCGTGCCACCATCCAGCATCACGAGCTCGCGTACCAATCGCAGCGTTGGAGAAATGACGTAGCCGCTGCCCTTGGGTGCCGAGAGACACTTTGCGAGGAGCTTCAGCTGGCGCTCCTGCAACAAGGTACGCGCGATGTCGAGAGCGTGGGGCAGGAGCTGGAGGGACTGCGAGACGACCTGAAGGAGAAGGGCCAGGACGGCGGGTACGGCGGACATCATGGCCTCGTTGTTGACCTGCGCGCCGTAGGACCAGGTTTCCATCACGTCGGAGAGGTAGACGGCGTCGTCGCCGGTGCTGTCGCGCGGCCGGGAGGCTTCAAGGTACTCTCTGAGGAGGGCGAAGCGAGCTTCGTTGTCGCCATGGCCGGAATTGAAGCCGTCGAGGAAGACTTTGAGGGATTGGATACCTGGATGAGAGATATACAAGTCAGTCTTGGGCCCCAATTGACTAGTATGTCAGTCAATGAGAGTGCGCTTACCATGCCGCGCTCGCTTCTGGTCCTGCTCAAAGGTCAAAAGCTGCTGCAGGTGCCGCGCAGAAGCAACCTCTTCGAAAGTCGGCGCCTCATGCACGACCTTTTGCCTCTTTCGGGACGCATCTGCGCCCTCGAATCCTCCACGCGATGGACGTTTAGGCATTCTGGGTATCTTGTCTGAAAAAAGAATTTTGTCCTAAGTGAGCGGACTCGTCCACTGCATCGTTCCCAAGAAACCGTCCATAGGAACACAGCTGTGGATACCGTCCAAGAAATAAAAAGTTCTGCCGTTCAGACCGCTCTTGTCTTTTTTTCCCTTCAGGTTTAGCGCGGGGATCTGGAGGGGCGGATTTGGGGGTACCTTAGCATGGGGGGAGGGGGGGCCCGCAATGACATTTCGCCGGCCATTTGCTGGAAGTCCAAATCCAAATAAACCTCCCCGCCAGCCTCGAGAACACCAAACGATTCCATCACAAACCCATCTCACCACCGGTACCACCGAAGCATCCCATACCCACGCCGATCCCGCAACGTGCTCTCAAAACAATCGAATTATAACTTCCACGTACATATACCACACAAGATCACCATGGGTTCCATCGTCATCCCCCATCTCAACAGCGGCTGGCACGTCGACCAAGCAATCCTCTCCGAAGAAGAGCGCCTCGTCGTGGTACGTTCCTCCTCATCCATATACCGGCGCAACCTTCTGCGCATGCAATAGTCCGCCAACTAACAAGATCTACAACACAGATCCGCTTCGGAAGAGACGCAGATCGCGACTGCATGAAGCAAGACGAAGTCCTCTACCGCATCTCGGACCGCGTCAAGAACTTTGCCTCCATCTACGTCTGCGATATTGATCAGGTGCCTGATTTCAATCAGAGTACGTCCCCTCCACCTCTTCAACCGCCTTGATAAACCGTCAATCTCTCGGGAATATATACACAATCTAGACTCCTAGATGCTAATATTCGTCTTCTTGGCAGTGTACGAACTCTACGACCCCTGCACAATCATGTTCTTCTTCCGGAATAAACACATGATGGTTGATTTCGGAACGGGTAACAACAACAAGGTACCGTCGCAAATATGCTGTCCCTTAAACGCCGGCTACCTCAGTAATAACTAACGAGAGGTTCAATAGCTCAACTGGGTGTTGGAAGACAAACAAGAACTCATAGACATCATCGAAACAGTCTACCGCGGCGCCAAAAAGGGCCGTGGTCTCGTCGTCAGTCCAAAGGGTATGCTCATTCTCTCTCTTTTTCTAGTACCTTCCCCCCCGCTCCCTCTACCATGGCCAAACCCATCGTCCTCGTCTCTATTGCTAATCGTGTTTCTCCCTCGCAGATTACTCCACCAGACACCGATACTAGATACCCACCCCCTTACACAACCCGTATTCCGCGCTCACATCCAGCGGCGACTTCGTCTTTTGCTTTAGAGAGAGATATATCAGGCTCAGGAAACGATCTTAGGGTTGGTCTCACACAATCAAGAAAACTATCATATTGAACCAGAAGATGCTAATGCTGTGATTCCAAAGACACTTTCTTTCTCTTATGTGAATTTATAATTTCTTTTTTTTTTCATTATTAGGTGAGGTACGTTGCTCCCCCCTTCTCTTCTTCTTCGTCTTCGTCTTCTTCCTCTATCCATCTTGCGTCGTGATGCAATGATACGTAAGTTCGTTTTGCATGCGCCTCTCTACCCATGCTCTGTAAAAACTGCAAGCCTCCTCCTATCAAGTCAAGTAGACTAGTGCTCTTTATACATAATGTAGATAAATAGAACAACTATTTGACTTGAGAAAACCTTCAACGCCCCTTCCCAACCCCTAGAGCATCTCCCCCTGCTGCGGCATCTTGGTCAAAAAGTTGGTCGGCACCTTGGGAACCTGCTGCGCTGCAACAGCCCGCTCAGCTCGGAAAAGTTCCTGCTGTCGATCATTCTCGCGTGACCTGCCGCCCGTCAAACGGCGCATCCGAGACCGCGTGCTCTGCGCGAGCGGCTTAATCATGTTCTCCAGCGAAAAGGACCCCTCGCCGCCGTGGCCCGTGTTCGGTCGCTCGTCGTCCGCGTCGGAGAAGACGTCTTCGGGGAACTCGTCATCCGAGGTGAACTCGCTAATGTGCGGCTGGTAGGATGCCGGTGCCGACGGCGACGTGATGGACCTATAATGGAGACCGGGTCGCGAGGAGGAACCTCCCGGTCCTCCGACTCCTAGCCCTCCGCCCATTCCTATGCCGCCGCCGCCCGCTCCCGACGCGCTAAAAGCTCCAGGATTCATCGTGTTGGAGCTCGGATCCCTTGCCGTAGCTGGTGGCCTGTCAGTAAACCCATTCTGGAACGTGCTGTTGTTGGAAGCCTGATGCAGGATTGGCAGGATTTGCTCATCATACAGCTGCGCTCCGGACTCGAAGCTGTCCGGTGAGAACTCAGTGATGGTCCTCGACGAGCGGCCGTCGCTGGGTGGGCTCGAGCCGAGGTCGTCAAAGAAATCGTCGAGGCTGTCCAGCTTGGTCACGAGGTCGCCGAGGTGTCCGTCGCCGCGGCCTTCGTCCGACATCATCGTCTCGGTCCGGTCGGGCATCTGGAAGTAGCTATACGGGAAGTCGTCGGTGTGGAACTCGACATCGGGCGTGGGCGTTGCTTCCGTCAGGATTCCTTCCGCGGCCTGACACATGTAGAATGCTGCGTGGATATTCGCGCGAGTGAGATCTGTCTTCCTGGCAGGAATGGGGATGGCCCACCCAGAAGCCTCCGGAATACCAAACAGACTGACAGTCCGCTCGTATTCCTTGCGGATCGTCTTCGAGGTAGAGCGAGTCATGCTCATCCGCAGGTGCTGCTTATCCATGGCGCTGCCCGACATTGTCATGATGTTGTCTAAAACCTCTAGTGCCTCCATACAGAACTCGGTCTGCAACAAACGCAAAAGAGGAGAGATGAGATCAGAGCCATGGCCAGCTAGCTCAGGCTTCCGCATGTCAATCTCGGGAATGACGATGCTAAGGATGTTCATGGTCTTTAGCTTCACCCACGCCGTGGAATTTGTAAGGAGACCCATCAGGAAAATGACCATCTTGAAGTCCAGGTTGGGGAGGAAGTGATCCTGTAACGAGGCGAACAGACGGCTCTGGAACTCTCTATTGTTGCCCTGATACTTGAAGCTGACGTACTCCTGAAGCACTTCAGCGACGTTGCCATATCCATGGTCCTCGCATACAGTGCACAAGATCTCGGCGGACTGCAGAACTTGCTCACTGGGCTCATCCTCTTCCATCTCGTGCAAGAAGCGGGGGAAGTTGGCCAGGATCGCAAAGAATAGCCGACTGTCATCGCCAATGAGTCCGTCACTGGGCAGCTGCACCACCTTGTCGAGCGTGGTGAGCGTAGCCTCCATGCAGATGGACGATCTCAGCCCCTTGTAGAGCAAAGACTGGAGGCCCTCCCAGGCACCGTCCCACCTCGAAGGTTGGCCGTCGAGCAGCAACATGCGAACGTTGGGCGACCTAAAGTCTACCTTTGTCAGGAACTCGTTGAGCATCTCCACAGCCTCCAAGTACTCGCGCTCGTTGATGGACTCCAAGCAGGCACACGTTGTCCAGAACAATTGAGGGAATGTGAGCAGCTTGTCTGCGTCGAGCTTGAGGATGAGCGTCTTCAGAGTGGTAAGAATCTCCATGGCAAACGTTTGAATCTCGGTGTCTTCGTCCGCAACAGTGTTCGACAACCGGGCGAGCATATCGCCCAGCATGAACTGATCCAGTGACGTGAGGATGCAGCGGAAAATTTGAAATGAGCGACACGCGAGGTGCCTGACGGGACACGATGTTGCCCATGTAAGGGACAGCCTGCCCCATTGGTCCTTGATGCCGGGGTAGGTGATTTCAAACGTCTTGACAACCTCGGCCGTCAAGAATTCCATGCTTGGAGGGACCTTGTTGTCGTGGTCGTCGGCTTTGCCATTGCTGTCTTCGTAGCCCCAGACGACTGAGCGATCATGGCGGCGGATCAAGTCAATTAGGTCCTCGATTGACGCTCTAGCCGTCAGCTCCGTCTCGTCATCTAATTGAGAAATGACAAGCTCATGGATGAGATGGACCAGCATTTCTCTGGCTTGCTCTTGGACGAGAGGGGTGTAGTGATCCCAGAGAACGGTGACCACCTGAAGTAGCACCGGCACGTTCTCAGGTGTGAGATGCACAGGGGAAACCATGAGATCGACAAGCAGGATGAGCGAAAGCTGGCCGAGGGAGAACCCGGCTTGCTTTGTGCCCACGGGGAGTGCCTCACCCAGGTCTGCACAGTACGGGAGCAGGCCGATGTCGGGCGGCGGCGGCATGGCGTCTTTCTTTTCGTTTGGAACCATCGCCTTGGGAGTAATTTGCATCAGAAGGAACTCAACAACCTTCATGCCGGGGTTGCTCGTGGTGCTCGAGAGGAAGACCACAATCTGCTTGGCGTACTCGACAAAGTTTTGCTCGCGCCTCTCGAGGCAGAGAGATATTATGAAGTCGAGGATCAGCCGCACGTTTCCAGGATAGGGCCCGGTCGCGAGAGCTTGCCACAAGGCTTGAACCTCGTTGTGCAAAGCACCGCTCGACTTGATGGTGATTTCCAGCAAGTTGGCCAACAATACGTACGACTGAGCGATAGGACCACCATTAGGATCGACTCTCAGCTCAATCGACTGAATCCAGGGTAGTATGACGGCAACAACATTGCGCTGTGAGGCAGGCTGGAGATCCTTGAAGTACAAAGTGAACTCGGAGAAGATGTGGAACGCCAGCTCAGTATGCTGTTTAGCAAGTCGTTTTGAGATTTCGAACTGTGCCAGCTTGTAGACCGCCTTTGTCTTGTCGGAAATGCTAATGTCGTAGTCCTGGATCTTTGAAGTACGCCCTGGCTGCTGTCTCTCCTCGAGAGCCCTCATCAAACGGGCAGACTTTGATCTGATCTCACTTTCGTCGTTGCCGAGAGTGAACAGACATAGTCCGAGCAGCTTCCAGAATGGGCACGTGTAATCGAGGTGCTCGAGCAGAACCTTGGTAACGACGGCGAAATAGCTCTCCTGGACCTTGGAAACGTCGGACAGGTAGCAGCGAGCTATGCAGTGTTCCAGGAGATAGGGCAACTCCTGGTTGTGGATGATCAAGTTCTGCAAGGCTCGACGGCCGATCACGTTCATCCGATCGCTTCCCGAGTTGAAGATGGCCTCGATCCAAGCCAGCATTCTTCGGATATCGAACTGTAGCGTGGCGCCACTCTCAGTGGTGATGCTCATCGGTCCGCCGCAGAGGGCAGCCATGGCACTGAGAGCTGCGGTACGAAGGTTTCGCTTCTCAATCTCCATGGCCGCAGTGACCGTACCTCGTTCCCCGAGTGACTGCTGGTCAATGAGGGACTGCCGCATGGTGTCTTCTCGGACTCGGATCTGCGTCTGGTTAGGCGAGAAGCCACACCAGTCTTCCATCAAAGAAAATGCGGACTTTCGGGACTCGAACGTCATCCATCGAGAAGGATCCTTGGTTCTGTTGATCCCTTCAAAGAGTTCCTCCGTCAGGCCGCAGTAGTGCCGCCTGAGTTTCTGAAACTCCCAATCCATTTGAACTTCACCGTCCATGAGGAAGAGCTTGAGGTCCCTAGTGTAGGTGACGAGATTGGTGAGGACCCACTCGTCGTTGTAGACGTCTTCGATCTTGAGGAAATGGCAGGTAAGCTTATAAACGTGGGTAATCTCCGTCCTTAGCAGATCCATCTTGCGATTCCGTCTCGGGCTGCTGTTGGTACGTTGATGGATACGGGCGCGAGCTTCGTCGTTACAGCGTGAAACCTGTCCTGCCAGCTCTTCAAGGAGTGTGCGGTAGATGTGGATATTGATAGAGCCCATGGCTAGGACCACCGCGTCTCTGACCGATGCCGACGAGACGGACAAAAGGGGTATGAGGTATTTGAAGAGCACCCTGGCTGAGACAATCTTGTCCGCAGAGGCAGGTTTGGACGTCTTTCGGCTATGCTGTGCGGCTTGAGGATTGGCAGCCACGACGCTTCCTGGGTCAGCCAGAGTCGTACAAGCGAATATCAAGTAGAGTTTCCACTGTTCCACGAGGATTTCCGGCTGTGTTGTCGGTGTCCTACCAGCGACGCGGGCGCTCCCGGGATCTGATCCGTAGTACAAGCCCCTCGATGGCTCCGACAAGAGCACGATAGCTTTGTACATCTGCAGAATGCGGTTGCAGATCAGGTCCCGACCAATGGTGACTGTAAAGGGGCACTTCTCGTACGCGATACGGATGAGATTGGGGAAGAGCTTGAACCACAAGGTCGTGTCGTACGAGACATCACTGGTACACAACTCCACTAGGGCACCTCGAATGTTACTGTTTTGCATGCCTCTCTGGAGCCTGCTCCTTTCAGCAACGGAGAGGCCTTCATCCTTAAAGTTCATTACTTGCATCGAGTCATTCTCCAAGATGTCAATGACTCTCAGAGTATCCTTGTCTTGGTTCTGTAGCGCCTTGTCGAAATCGTTGATGAGCCGGAGGACGGTTATGGCAAAGTAGCGTACCCTCCGAGACTGTGAGCAGAGAAAAAACAAGCCGTGGGCCTCTGCTTGATCAACCTCTGCCCAGATGCCGGAGAGATCAAGTTTTGCGCCGCGTTTGTCACTCGCCTCGAGTTGGTCTAGAGAAGCATCTCGAGTCTTTCTTCTTATCTCCTCGATCCAAATTTGAAGCAGCTCAACGTACAGACGCAGAGTGCTCTCGATGTGACCAGGTCCGAGCATGCCACCGTCAGACATGGTCGAGTACCGGTCGTCAAAATTGAAGATGAAGCGAGCGAAGCCCATGGTGACTTGCTGCGCGTGGGCCTGCCGGGCTATGGCCTTGAGTGACTGAGCGGACGAGAAAGCGATATTATACTGCACGTGGGCGGTTCCCGTGCAAAGCAGGTTGATCAGAGAGTTAAAGGGTATATCGACAGAAAGACAACGAGGCAAAGCTTGGACGGCAACATGTAAAAGCTCGTAAAACGCCTGTTTGTGATCCGCAGGAGACTGATGGTCATCCCGCCGTGAGAAATTGAACGTATCGGCGATGGGGGTCTTGGGGCCTGGGCTGCTAAACTTCTCATCCAACACGGCTTGGCCTCCGAACGTGTTGTCGCAAATGATGGTGATCTTGCCGAGAATCTCGCAGAACTTATGATAGTATTCACGGACAATGTCACTCAGGGCACTTGTCCGGACGGGGCGGGAGAGCTGCTCACCCTCGCCAGGCGTCGCCGAAGTAGAACTTGCGGACGCGGTGTGGTGTGGTGAGGCCATCACGGGAGAGACAGGCCCGCGTTCAATCGCTGGTGGCGGTGGGAATGAGCTTGGGAAAGGCGGCCGGCCCTCATCAGCCTTTTCTAGGTCAGACATGATGGCAAGGAACGCTCTGATTCCAATGACCATGCGGTCTGGATCAAGTTGTTCCACCTTCAAGTCTTTGTTGGATACGAATAATTCCACATTGATCAAGGGGAAGATAACATGCTTGAAGCAGTATTCGGGCTGCTTGTATCCGATGATTCTGATGATTTGGATGACCGGCTCTGTCACAGCCGAGTCGGAGGCGATGAGACTGCGCTTCGTTGGTGGCAAAACTAATTTCATCACCTCGTCGAGCTTCCTGTTGGTATTAGGCAGGGTATCGTTGGTTCGGTACAGGTATGTCCACAGCAGCCTCGCAATGACCTGGAGGCACAATGGCCGTGTAAAACGGTCCTTGAGCTTCGGCTGGAGAGGGAGAATCAACTGGAGCCATTGGGATCCAAATGTGTCGGGAGGAGATACGCAGAGCAGCGTTGCTGTCAAGGGAAAGGCGAACCCCCAATGCCGAGGCTTGATGAACATTTGCGCAAGGCGGGGACCGATCGCGCCGAGAACCTCAATCCATTTCGGATGCGCCAGATCTTGATTTGTTGCTTTGGCGGCCACAGTGAGCAGAAGCGTCTCGAGCACCTGGCAGAAAGCCGTCTTCACTCGCTGGCCGTGGGAGCGATGGAATAGGCGCCCAACGGCTACCATGAAGTCGCACGAGTATTCCCAGGCCTCTGGATGTGACATGTTGACTTTGAGATGCTTCATTCCACCTAGGACGAGCTCAATCTTACCCTCGGCATCGCGGCCTGCTGGTGATGTGGGGCTTTTGGCCACCAGTTCCTGGAGTGATCGTTCGAGGTCTCCGAGAAACCTTTCTGTGACGCCCCTGAAGTTGATCTCGCTCATGACACCCAAGAGCTGGGAGAAGAGGTTCCAGTTTGCAAGTTTCAGCGGGCTGACCATGAGCTGCTCTGTGTCGGCGATCTTGAGTTGGCCAAAAATGATGCCCTCCAGCTTCTCCTCCATCTCCAACGTCAAGAAAGGGAGGCTCGTTTGACTGATGACCTCTAGAAGCACTCGGCAAAGGATATAGATGGAAACGGTAGAACGACGTTCGGCGTGTGCCACGAATTCTTGTTTAGCGGCCAATGAAGTCTGCGGACTGGCCAGACCATTGTCCATGGCTCCGGGTAGAGGCTGCAGAGGCTCGGTATTCCGGCGTTGGAGAGGCCCTGGTGCCGCACCCCTTGATTGCTGCAACTGACTTCGGGCTTCGTTGGCCGCATCGCTTTTGCTCTTCCTCCACAGCATCATGGAGTCTATAAGGGGTTTCGGTCGCGGCCGGGCAATGTGGCCCAAGGCGGTAATGATCTGGTCGAAGGATGGGTCGACTCCCGGGCCGCAGATCTGCTCGACCTGCGGCTCCGGTTCGAATGGCACTGTGATGCAGTCATTGAGTTTCTCCTCGGCTTGCGCAATGAACTAGAGAATTGGTTATTATCAGAGCTTGTTTTGGTCACGCGAGATGGAAGCGGGTTTGCCCAACATACGGAGGTGAAGAGCACATGCAAAGCGTATTCCCCCACAGTCTTTTGCTCATCCCTGTGGTGCTTGGAAGAGTGGGAGTGATGGTGTGCGTGTTCGCGCCTCGTCTTGCTATGCATTCGTTCCACCTTTCTCTGCGCGACAGAGGTATTGGAAAAGTCGGTAGCTGAAGATGTTCTCTCGGGGACAATGGGCCCAGAGTTGACGGTGGTGCCAGACATGGCGGTGCCTGGGCGCAAGCCCGGAGGCACGTCCGGGTCTAGACGGCCAACGGCGTGCATATCGGGACGTTCTGGGGTAAGACCCGCGCCGGCGGCAGCAATTATCTGCGGGCTGAGAGGACTCGAAGACGAGCTGGCGTGACTTCCATTTCTAGAGTGTTGAATGCCGTGTACTATGGAGGTCTGACGATGGTGACCGTATGACGCGCTCTTGGGATCGACGAGTCGTTCGATTACGCCGCCGAGGCCTCCTCCTCCTGTGCGGGACTGGGCGTGTGTGTGGGCGTGTGTGTGTGTTCGGGGAGAGATGTTGGAGCCGGAGATCGGAGGAAGCGGATGTGAGGAGAGCTTTTCGTAGGAGGAATCGCGCGAATGGGTGACGGAGCGAGGCAGGGGAAGATGAGGATGTGGTTCGAGGGCGGCGGGTCGCAGGGTTCGGTCCCAATCGGCGTCGTCCTCGTCTTCTTCGTCGAGGGTGGTGACGGATCGCGGAGAGAACTTTAACGGCGGGTCCTGTAAAAGATCGGGCAGCGTCGCCTGGGACGGAGCTAGACGAGACGACGTCTTATGGTTAGTGACAGGCCTTCCCCTCTCTTGTGAAACGACAGACTGCGCGTAGGGAGGCAGACGGGGTGGAGGTTTGTATGCGTTAGACGGTTTGAAGGTGCACAGATGTGTGGTCTAGCAACACCGGGAGCCCAGTGCAGACCAGAAGGAGAATAGATGCGACGAAGAGAGTACACTTTGGGACAGGAAGAGGGACGATTGGGGACCGCGATTAGGTAGGGAGGGCGCAACGCTAAAATCTCAAGGGTCGAAGAGCAATGGAGGGCAAGCCGCAAAGCTGCATAAGCAACCTGACGCCAACGGCCAGCGCGGAAGCCAGGAGAGCCGCACCCACAAGTTCGAACCTGATTCGACCTGGGCCTGGGGCGCGCGAGGCTGGGTTTACGGACCCAATGTCTGTGTGTTGCGTGCGAGCTGGCTATGTGTGCAGCGGATGGGTAGCGCGCGTGTGGTTTGCAAATAAGGTAAGGTGGTGTTGCCGGTGGACGTGGTAGCGTTGTTGGTGGTGGTGGTGGTGTAGCACGGGACGATGAGCAACCCTTGATAGCCGTCGGAGGAGGGCCGAGGCAGATTGGAGAAGAAAAGGCGAGAAAAAGGTCAGGCCAGACTATTCCGAACCTTGCCTTACCTCATGGCTGACCAGGTACGGAAGGGGGGAGAGAGAGAGAGAAGACGGGACGAAACGAGACGAAAAGAGACGAGCCAAGCGCGTTCGTCGGCGAGTCTCCGTCACGTTGTACGTAAGGCGAGGGCGGCGCCGCATGGCATGACACAAAAGGCAAAATAAAGGGCCAAGCGAGGGTAAACGGGCTGGGTGGGATGGAGACTCGGGAAGCAATGCAAGCCTCCAAAGCTTCCAGAAATGCTCCTCCGAGATGCTTCGGTGTGTGGTTGAAAGGCTTGACTTGACGCAGCTATGCGGGGAATTGGGAAAGGGAAGGGAGGGCCGAGGGAAGACGATACAGAGAGAAAACGCCAATTGTAAAACTCACCCATTGTTGCGTCGGATCGAGTCCCATGATCCGGGTCTTACGGCATTCGAAGGGTTGTACACCGTTGCTGGTGGCCGCCACAAAGTATCGACGGATGGACGTGGAATCGAATCAGGTGTTGTGGGTGAGTGGGTGGATGGACGATGGTGGATGACGAATGAACAATTGGATATCAAAAATGCGGCAGCGGAGGAGAAGGAGAAGAAGAAGAAGGAGGAGGAGGAGGATCAAATCAACGTCCGGACCAGACCAGGACAGCAATGATCAAATCAGGGTTGGGATTGGGGTCTCCGTCGGGTATATTCTGATTTGCGAATTTCGATGGCGGCGCGGCACGGCGGTGGTGCTGGCAAGTTCAATCCGGTGGGTAATTAATGATGAAAGAGCATGATAATCATCATGATTGGGGAAGTTGGGGCCTTGTGAGCCTTTTGCTTTTGGGAGGGGTGAGGTGGGAAAGGAGGCCGAGCAGCAAGACCAGCCCGTTCTAATCCCAATCCCAAAATCCAATATAATAATCTTGTTCAATAAAGCAACCCAAGAAGAGAAAGTCGGACATGCCCATCCAGTCAATCAATCAATCAATCACCTAGCCAGTCACTCCAGTCTCCAGTCTCCAGCCAGTTAATACCAACCGAGTGGGAATAGAACCCGGACCAAGCTGCAAGCACCAGCCTCTTCTCTTCTCCAGAACTCCTCTTTCGTCTTTCATACGAACATGTCATTTCATTGCCATTGGGCAACACGGTACTCCGTAAACACAGCCTTTTCTCCTCTTGCTGGGGTTTGTATGGCTGACTACGAGTCTACGGCTCTTTTGGGTTGCTGTCACCGAGCCTATAATAATCCCGCCGGACCAGCCCAGAAAAGAAGCAGAAGAAGCAAAAGAAGAAGAAAAGGGCACCATTGGCCGTTGGAACCACCGAATACCGTCCCATGGCCAGGGGCCCAGGGGTGCGAAGCAGCGAAGCAGCGAAAAGAAGCATAAGGCAAGGTATTGCCTGGGTGCCTTGCTCGCCGCAATTACACGCAGCCTCCACACATCCGAACTCCGTACGGTACCGTCCGACTACTTTTGTATTTTCTCCTAATTACCTACGTAGGTATGGAACTGACTTCAACTGAGATCATGATGGTTTCTTTCTCATGCTCGTCAGCGATGACCATCTTACCCAATTAACCCCCAACATGCAAATCCAACATGCCATCAATGCGTTGCCTCGCGGCTTGCCTTGCACCAGACTGTCTTTCCTCTCAAGTCTCACAAGACCAGCAGAAAAGAAAGTCGGCAGGGTCTCATGCCGGTCCATATCATGCCTTTCCCCTCCTTCCCCTGATCCTGAGCCATCTGCTGCCCAAGGCACAGCGAGCTATGAGATCACACAAAGCTGCTCGAGTCCCTCTCCGAATTGAGACCTGCACCTCTCATTCGGCATCTCCCTGCCAGTCCCTGAACTTGCAAGGCCCTCGTGGTCCTTTTGCCCAGCTGTAGGCTGTTGATGATGATGTCGGTGTTCGTCTCTTAGATGCACATTGATGTTGCCTCGCTTGATTCACCGACTGGGGCGTCACCGTCTTTGCCGTAGTCCAACATTCGGCACCAATCATCGTCTTTCTGTCAGACACTAACAGAGTGACCCGAGATGTGGCTTCTCTAGCCCGGAAGCCTTCGCTCGCGGGCCAAATCGCCAGAGTCCGTCACATTTTTCCTCCATACCACCAGCCACGCGACAAGGGGAGGATGCATGCAAGGGCCACGCCCAATCAGCATCTCCCACAGACCACTCGACGAAGGGGGGGGGCACAGGAGGGAAGCATTGGTCCACCGTCCAATAGCTGAATACCTAGCCCCGGGCACACAGGCACAGGCACGATAGGCTGAAATGTCCTTGAGACGGAGAGGGCCAAGCCTCGACGGGCTCGATTCGAGGGCATAACAATGGACGACTCTCCGTAAAACCCCTGGACGCGCTGGAGCTTGCGGGGAATGGCCCGCGGACAGAAACATTGGCCGAGCTGTGAATCTGTAAGGCGGGCGGCGACGGGAGCGCGGGTAGGCAGGCATTGATTGTCACGGTCCCATCCAGCTGAACACTTCGACCATTGCCATGGCCCCTGAGTTCCATCACTACTGAGATTTTGGCTTGCACTCTATAAGACGAGGATCACTCTCGACCAACCCAGCGGTCCGTCCGTGCATCGCAATCTGGCCTCTGGATCTCCAGTCGGTCCTAATTCCTGAGGTAAATGATTAGTCTGTCATCTTGTAAGGCAACCCACAAACTTGCACAGTCTTTCGCCTAGCAAAATGCCGCATCATCTTTGAGCGTACAAACTTCGTTGGGTTTTGGACAGGTCATATTCATGCTCATGCAGACGCAAGAGCGGGCTGCCGTGCGGTCCCCGATGGCAATTCCTGACTCCGCTGTCCGATCAAAAGAAAGGAGTGATGTGTCACGTCGCTGTCGAGTAACCCAAGTATCCGTACATAAAATGTTACCGTGAACATGTGTCGACGATCAACAGCAATTGAAGTCGGAATGAGCGAGACTTGCAGCGCGGGAAAGAGTTCCTCTCCCCCAATGCTAATGCTCGCAGGTTGCGGCACATGCAAGATGATTGCCGTGAGGATTGTCCGCTGCACGTGTGGCCTGGAAAATATCCGAACAATATCAATCCCAGCATCGAATGCCGTCGATCAGCAGTTCTAGACTCGACGCTGTCATATCTTGCAACCGTCGCAACGACTTCTTGTCTTCGTCTGCAAGTAGCCAGTGGCGAAGAGCATATGTGGTTGATTTCTCGACTATGAAATGACTGGCATTGAGGACGCTCTCTGGCCCTGTCGGCACTGACCGCATAACAGCATCACGATCAATGGGCCGGTTCAATGGCAGGCGCCCCGACTTGCCAAGTTGAGATCATGGAAGTTGAGAAAAGAAAAGACGGTAGTTTCCGTCACTCGTGGCGAAGGCAGGTGATGTGAAGGCAACTTGTCTAGGAAGTTTACCCTGCCTTGCTTGCGACAAGAAACGGGGTATGACGAAGTAATCAAGAGGACTCCAGGTCTTAAGCTGATGGCAGAGACTGACTCCCTTTTGAGCGAGGCGAGCTTTGCACACTGTTCGATGGAATTTGCATTCTGCACAGATTTCCATTCTCACGAGTTGTACATGAGCCTCCCTAGAGCCTGGGCTCTGGCGGCGGCTCGGTGCTGCTAATCGATTGAAGGCCTTATTTCGCTTCTATTTCCATCAGCAAACGCGGGCGTGGGGGTGGAGCGCCGCTTGCAGACAAAGAAACGGCCCAGGTAGGATCAGAGTGGGTATCCGCCGGTGGTGGAGAGCCAGGACTGGCGTGAAGGTCCGAGACCGAAGCTGCGGTGAAACCCTCCAAACCGCCCGGAGAGGCCAGCTGGCCCGTAATCTAGGCCCGGTGCCTATACTGAATTTGCAGCAAAGAGCTCCGATGATTGTTTCGGATGCTGATCCGGTCTCACTACGGCAGTGGCGGCGTGGCTCACCACCCTGGCTAGATGAGAGAGCTGAGGCAGACAGTGGCGATCTCTCTCCTTCATGTTATCGCCGGCCGGCATCATGGAAGCAGCGGACTTTGGGACGGGCCCGGCGCACCGTGATGCCGTCGACTCTTCGGCTCCACTCTGCGGACAGTGTGCAGACAGGGACGGCCGGGAGAGTTAGGGTGGTGAGTGATTGAGACGGGCCTACTGGGGCACACGGATTCCGCGTATTCGTGTTCGGTTTGAAATCTGTACCAGTCCGATATCCCAGTAGACAGTAAAACGCCTCGCCGTCGATGATCATCATACGCGAACACATCGGCTCCCGATATGAGAAGGCATTCTAGAAACCGTCTTCGAGAAGCATCGAGGTACGGCCCGCGTGGATCACCGCTGCGCCCTGGCGCTTGTCGGAGTGATCTGAGATTATTAGGCCGAGTCGCCGTGTCATTAAGCAAAAGCTTGGATCGTCGGAGGCTCCGGCCGAAAAAAATGTGGCTGTCATTGATGAAGACGTGGCCTGAAATGGAATGCGTCAGTTTCCTTGCGATGGAACCCGAGGCATCAGGCAGCCGCGGAAGGCACCAACGTTTAAGGTAATTCGTAGACTGGTGACTTGGTGGCTAGTGGGAGGTCACAGGTGTAACGACTGAGACAGATGGTGCAGAGAGAGGACTGTGTAGAGTACAGATGCCAAGGATCTACCGTATCCATATTGTATCCGTAGACCGTTGTACAGGAAGAGCGTATTCGTTCTTGTAGACGGCTGGGTAGGTATCCTCGCGCCAGAAATCAGAGTAAGGTAGCGTGGGTAGGTAGGTGGTTGAAGCCTTGGGGAACATGACACAACAACTGCCGTGGTGCCGTGGCGAGGCGGTATGAAGTGTGGGTTGGGCTCGTTATCGGTCTCGCGGGGTTCCCTTGCGCAGGCTTGGGCTTGTGGCAGTGGCCGTGTGGGCTACCATCGTCACTCGCTGGCTGGTTGTCGTCCTTCTCGGCTCGGCATGCATCTGCTACTGCGGTGTCATCAAAGATGAATGATTCAACGAACCGTTCGAGTCAGACGCACCGTCCCCTTGTTGGCATGCATAGTGTGGGATGTATCCGTTGTAGTCCACTACCTGGAGTTAGAGTCAGGCTGTTCGGATTCCTGAATTCTTATTATGGACGTAGGAGCCGTCCGTCGACGCCTCATCAGACCACCCTTCAGCCTTCCAGGAGCTTGGAGAGAGGGACGGTCTGTTCTCTACTTGATTCCCGCCTAAGGTTTTGTATTCGTACAGAGAGGTAGGCAGTTGGTCGTGATAGTGCAGGGCCATGTGGTGTGGCTGGCGGCAAAAGAGAGTTTCTTGCTTCGATGGTGAGCTTCTGCCGGTTTCCAGTCAACGAATGCCGCACAAAGCCAAAAAGGACTGCCGTCAGTGGAAGCAGTCACGCAGTGAAGCAGTGAAAGTAAACCATAAAGTTTCCGCGGTGGAACCCAGGCGTGGAGATATCTCGGCGCCGACCCCTCGGGATCCGCTGGTCGAAGCTCTCAAGACCACCATCGCCATTCTGAGTGGTCCACTTGAGGCATGACTAAGCGTATGGCCGAGAAAGACCGTGCGTCTGGTGTGTACGTATCGAGTGTTTGGCGGGGGGACGGTACATGGAAGCGGCAAGATTGGGCAGTACCTACCTTAAGGTACCTAGAGGGAGAACTGTGGAAGGTGCGGACTAATACCTGCCAACCTCAGGAATTGACCCGTACTTTCCTCAGTCTTGGGCCGGAACATCAAGACCTGAAGTGTAGAAATGGAAGGAAGGAAAGGCTGACTGTCCGCGCCGAAGCGGTGCGGTAGGTACCTACCTAGACCATTCACAGCTTGGAAGCAACTGGAATAGGTACGTAGAGGAATTCTTGGACAGAGGAAGGCACAGGGGAAGGCACAAAAGGTACGTAGAGCCGGCGGAGGGAAATTGGGCAACGGCTTTCCGCTGGGAGTGGGACAGAGAGTAGAAAGGAAGGAACCTCGCTTTCGATTCGGAACGGCCCTGCCAAATCCTGGAACGAGAGCATGCCAAAACCGACCCGACTGGAAGGTGGAGAGGCACAGACCGATACTCGTACCTGCCTTCCATTAGGTCGTCCCTTGCCTTGGGCTTCCATGCTTCCATCTGAGGCGCGGAATACATCCAAGTGTCCGTACCTTACTTTGCCTCATTACGAATATTCGCACAATATTACACAGTTACATGGTAGATAGATCATACTGCGTAGGTTACTAGGTAATTAACAAGGAACAAGTTCAAGTCAGCCCAGTCCAATGTCCAATGTCCACTGTCCACTGTCCCCAGACCAGGCCGTCGAATGCAACTCTGCCCGCCGGTCCCTTATCGCACTTCCGATTCAAAGTTCCGTCCGTTTCCTCCTGTGCTGCGGCCTGCCCGCCCCGGCCTTGCTTGTCCTCATCAACTCCCGTCAAACGAGACGAGACTTCTGCAGCGCACGAACAAACCCCGTCGACTCTTCCTATTTTCTCCCGACCTTGCCCTCTCTTGCTCTTATTCTTTACTCTCACTCCCTCCTTCTCAGTCCTCTCCTCCTCAAAATTCCTCCATCCTCCGTCTTTCCTATTTCTCCCCGCTGACTGTTCACTCCGGGTCCGCTTACAATTCACTATCCTTCTTTCTTTCCTCGACTCCGTACCCGACCCGAAGCCCATCTACCAAACAACTCTCCCCGGTGTACTCTCTCACGCACACATACGCACTTCACTTACTATCCCTCTTTCTCACTCTCACTGCTCACACGCTCACTCTTACGTTGTGTGCTTCCGCCCGTACCTTTCCCAACTGGGGTCTCGGCGTCCTTTGCACAGACCGGTAAGTCCAATCTTCTCTTTGCCCATGGACCCTAAACCCCCGTACTCCCACCCTCCCCCATCCCAGTGCTTTGGTCTGGCTACCTTGCCTTGGGTGTCAGCCTTTGGTCCCGCGCTCTACACTACCAAAACTGTGCTACGCTGCAACGCAACTAGACGGGACAAATAGTGTACTGTGCAAGGTAGAAAGGGTGGTTGCTGGCTGCCCACAGGTCTGGCCGTCATTGGCGGCGCCGGGACTGCTGGTACTGGTGCGTGTCCGAAACTCGGCATCACACTGTTTCCACTCTCCCCGACCGACGGGCTAAATGCTGGGTCTGACGGTCTGACCAGACCTTCCTGGTTTTACCCACATCCTCCTCCACCACAACCACCAGAGTCCACCACCACCTCTTCCTCCCGGCCAATTGTCGAATCACCCCCGCTGATCTCATGTGAACACGATTGCAGAATCCTGCTCCATACTTCGTACCTCACGGGCTCACACACGAGGCTTGAATTTCTCCAACAACCGCCTATTCCCGCGGCTGTTAGATCGCCCCCCTAAATAGTCGCCTATTTACGGCTGTCAAATCCGGCAATCCCACTCGCATTCCTGGGCTGGTAATTCTTCATCTCTCCATCGCTCGCTGCGACTTCTTACCTCCTTGCAGCAACCCCGCCAAACTTCACTCTTACAATAAACACCACCCTCTCTGCCCTGTCGCTGTCGCGCATCACCTCGGAATTGTCAGTGCTTCCGAGCCGCAACCCTTCCGAGCAGCCCAGTTGAGTCCGACGGCCCAACATGGCGGAACTCGATACGCTGGACATCGTCGTCTTGGCCGTCATCCTCTTGGGTACGGCCGCCTACTTCACCAAGGGCAAATACTGGGGAGTAGTCAAGGACCCCTACGCCAACGCCTTCGCCAACGCCAACGGCGCCAAGGCAGGCAAGACAAGAAACATCCTCGAGAAGATGGATGAGTCGGGAAAGAACTGCATCGTCTTCTACGGATCCCAGACTGGTACCGCCGAGGACTACGCCTCGAGACTCGCAAAGGAAGGCAAGAGCCGCTTCGGTCTCGAGACCATGGTCGCCGACTTGGAGGACTACGATTACGATAACCTCGACTCCATTCCCAGCGACAAGGTCGTTATGTTCGTTCTCGCCACCTACGGCGAGGGCGAACCCACCGATAACGCCGTCGATTTCTACGAGTTCATCACTGGCGAGGACGTCTCCTTCTCCGAGGGCAACGACCCCGCCCTGAGCAACCTCAACTTTGTCGCCTTCGGTCTCGGCAACAACACCTACGAGCACTATAACTCCATGGTTCGCAACGTCACAAAGGCTCTCGTGAAGCTCGGCGCATCCAAGATCGGCGAGGCTGGCGAGGGTGACGATGGCGCCGGTACCATGGAAGAGGACTTTTTGGCCTGGAAGGACCCCATGTGGGCTGCTCTCGCTGAGAAGATGGGTCTGGAGGAGCGCGAGGCCGTCTACGAGCCCACCTTCAGCATTCTTGAGCGCGAGGGCCTCGACGCCTCGTCCTCCGAGGTCTACGTCGGAGAGCCGAACAAGATGCATCTCGAGGGTACCGCAAAGGGTCCCTTCAACGCCCACAACCCCTACATCGCCCCCATCGCCGAGTCCAAGGAGCTCTTCAGCGTCAAGGACAGAAACTGCCTGCATTTGGAAGTCGACATCAGCGGATCCAACTTGTCCTACCAGACCGGTGACCACATTGCCATCTGGCCCACGAACCCTGGTGAAGAGGTTGACCGCTTCCTCGACCTCGTCGGACTTACAGAGCAGAGACACTCGGTCGTCAGCGTCAAGGCCCTCGAGCCTACCGCCAAGGTTCCCTTCCCTACGCCCACCACCTACGATGCCATTGTTCGCTACCACCTCGAGATCTGCGCACCCGTTTCCCGTCAGTTCATTTCCACCCTCGCCGCTTTCGCTCCCAGCGAAGACATCAAGGCCGAGATGGTCAAGCTCGGTGGCGACAAGGACCTTTTCCACGAGAAGACCGGTGCTCACTTCTACAACATTGTTCGTTTCTTGGATTCTGTCAGCGGTGGACAAAAGTGGACCAACATCCCCTTCTCCGCCTGGATTGAAGGCCTCACCAAGCTCCAGCCTCGTTACTACTCCATCTCCTCCTCGTCCCTGGTCCAGCCCAAGAAGATCTCCATCACCGCCGTTGTCGAGAACCAGACGATCCCTGGCCGCAGCGATCCGTTCCGTGGTGTCGCTACGAACTACCTCTTGGCCCTGAAGCAGAAGCAGAACAACGACCCCGAGTCCACCGCCTTTGGATTGACCTACGAGATTACTGGCCCCAGAAACAAGTACGACGGCATCCACGTCCCCGTCCACGTCCGTCACTCCAACTTCAAGCTGCCTTCCGATCCCTCCAAGCCCGTCATCTGCATCGGTCCCGGTACCGGCACGGCCCCCTTCCGTGGTTTCATTCAGGAGAGAGCCAAGTTGGCTCGCGATGGCGCCGATGTTGGTCAGACGATCCTCTTCTTCGGATGCCGCAAGTCGACTGAGGACTTTTTGTACAAGGATGAGTGGGAGGTAAGCAAAGCCATTCTTTAACCCCTTGCATGTTCTATGACGCAAGACTGATACTTGTAATAGCAATACAAGAAGGATCTCGGCGACAAGTTCGAGCTCATCACCGCATTCTCCCGCGAGGGCCCCAAGAAGGTTTACGTCCAGCACCGCCTCAAGGAGCGCTCCAAGGAGATCAACGAGCTTCTGGAGAAGAAGGCCTACTTCTACGTCTGTGGTGACGCCGCCAATATGGCCCGCGAGGTCAACACTGTTCTGGGCCAGATCCTGGCGGAGCAGCGTGGCATCTCCGAGGCCAAGGCCGAGGAGATTGTCAAGAACATGAGAGCAGCCAACCAATACCAGGTACGTCGGATCGCATTCTCCCACAACAGTTTCGAGACCGATGCTAATCAATGCTACAGGAGGATGTTTGGTCATAGAGTCGGTCTGCGTAATGTGACATGGAGTACGGAATCTAGACAGGAAAACGGAGAAGGCATCTACGCCCTCTTTATAGAGGTGCGAAATTTGTGCGTGCGTGGGATGTGTGTGGATGTGCGCACGTCTTCTATATCAGCATAGGGCGGCGTATGTTGTGCATATTGGATCGGGATGAACGGAGTAATGTTTTGGGGAAACCTACACCTACCTTAAACCCATCCCACCGACCTCTTTGCAGGCAGATCGCGCAGACGGGGTTCGTCCCTTTTTAACTATTTTACATTAAAGCAACGTTGGGCAGGCAGGCGGGCATGGTGACGAGCAGGCAAGGGGTTTGTTGGCTTGGTTGCTTGACTTTGGTTTTCCAACTTGGCATACAACCTCTGTTTTTCTTGTGTTTATGCTGTCATTGTCCTGTCGCGCGTGCCACTGGATTGTCGGTTGGTTTTTTGGAGTTTGTACTGCAGATAATGATTCGTTCAGAGTATAGACAGTTCATCTTCCAAAGCCCCTCATTCATGATGTGCCAGTTGTGATTTATCGTCCCCATCTTGATGAAAGTATCCATCATACATACCTTGACGGCCTGGCCATCTGGCTGTCTCTCTGGAACCATTCATAGGTAAGATAAGTACCCAACGGACCTACCTCAACCGAGGCAACATGGTGCGGCCCCCAAGGCAAGATGCTGGGTGATACCGTTAGTTGCAGCAACTTGGGCTTCGACATGGCGTGATTGACCTTTTGGTGGTTGCTACTTGACACTTCCCATTCGAGGGGAGAAATGTATATAACTATCCTTGACACAATCCGGGACGCCGTCACTTTCGTCAGTAATCAATAATTGAATCGGAAAAGGCTGAACAGATCGGGAAGCACCAAGCCCGTCCGTCCCTCTTCCCGTGCAGCAAAGACAATCCTTACGGATGCCTTGCAATTAATCAGTCAGCATAACTCAGCAACACCCCGTTTCCCTAGAGGTACAAGAATAGCCGGTTAAAAAAGGCGAATCCCGGAATGGAGGAAAGAGACCACTGGTGAACGTGAACCGGGAGCGGGTAGGGACGTGATGCGATCATCCATCTCTCCCCTCCATCCCCCCACCCCGCAAACATTCCAACATACTTACGAATGGCACTGCCTGCCGAGCGGAGGATCGGCTCGGTGACCGGGGTTAGACGATGGCACTAAGCCAGAAATTGCCCTCCGGGTGCGAGCTGCTCCCCTTTCCGTCCTTGCTTCCCGTGGCCTTATTCTACGGATACCGTCAACAACGAGCTTGTCCAAAGTCCACGGCCTGGCGCGATGACAACCAACACAGGCTGCCAATGCTCCTCGAAGACTTCTCGATCCGAGCGGCGGCAGCGGCGCCTCGGGTATCTCACACTACCAAGAAACAAACAATGAGCAAACATTCGAGCTCGGAGAATCATCCCTAGCAGAACGCTGAAAGAGGGTGTGATAAGACGTCAAGGCCGAGTCCCTCTCCTCATAAGGAAACGTGGTATCGTATCCCTCCCAATCTGTCCTCTCAGTCCCAGCGTCTTGCAGTGCGTGTGCAACCGAATTTCATCATCATTGCTTTCCCCGTTCTAAGAGGTCCGGCAGAAGCCGCGATTTTGTCTTGGTGTTGGAGGAAAGAATCGAGACATGACAAGCCGGCATGACCTGCATGACGGCCGAAGCAAGGCGCAAAAAAGCACTTTCAAGTCGGCGTAAATGACTGGTTTGCGCTCCTCCGGATCATCGCCTATGTCTGAGCCCAATTTGCCGTCTCTTACGAAATGAGTATCAGTCGCCAATCGGTCTCATTGCATGGGCTGAAACAGGCACCAAGGGAGTTTACTTTTTGATGAAGCTGCGCAGTCAAAATCATTGATTCGTGAGATAGAAGGCTGGCGCAAAATGGGGAACAACTTTCGAGAATCAAGACGCTTGTGACGCCTTGCTTGCTGCAGCCTGCAGCAACAAGCCGATGTTTGCCTTTTGGTCCTGGTCTGCCGCTGCAAGATCCGATCTCCGCCCCAGCCAACCTGCAACCTTTGCACTTGACAGCCCGGACTTTGCTTACCGCCACTTTAGACGACGGAGATCCAAACAAGACCAGTCATATCGTCTGTCCTTTTGTAGGACAGATGGCTGCTCGATCCTCGACTCCAGAGTCCAGACACCGCTCGACGGTCAGAGAATGGCGATTCGCTCTGGACTTCAAAGTCACACTGCCCGCCCGGGTCCAGGCTTGACTTGCTGAAGCGGCTGCTCTATGCAAGTCCGAAAGTTCGGGCCAGCCGACGCGGATGAAATTATCAGGAGACCCGGGGAGATGAGTAGGCCGGCGGAAATGTGGAGGCTTTCATCACCACGGCTTCAGCCTCAACTCTTTTGCGACCTCACAGGAGGCGTGCTCCTCGCCACGGTCATGAACCACCAAGAGCCCGCAAAAGAAACCAGAGAAGGGTCCCTTGCGAATCTCAGAGTCGAGTTCGTCTCGTCATGTGCGTGAAAAAGCGGCACGGTCTTATCCCACCCACCCCACGACATTGCTTTTTCCTCGTCGGCACTAGCAGGGAACGAGCATGTTAGTCCTCGGATCTGGGCCAAACACGCTTCGCCTTCTGGATGTGATTTCCATGTTCTTCTTCTCGTTTTGTGGGTGTCGATTGTGAACGCCAGTACCAAGGCATGGTGGCTCAACCGGGTTGTGATCTCTCAAAATACCGTCAACGGACCACGGCAGACAGCCTCCCTGGTCGGTCGTTCGTCAGCACTGTTGAAAAAAAGACCAAGAAAGACACCCCTGGGGAGAGCATGAGAAACTCGCACAACCTCGGAGACAGCAACAACAGTATGCCATGCGTATCAAATTTGGTCTCAGGTACCCGCCACGCCACGTTGGGTTGCTTGACACTGCTGCCCACGCCAACACTCCAGATCACGCCAGCCACAGACTATCGTGAGATGCAGGTCGCACACTTTCTAATCCGAACCCGGCTAGGTTCTGTTTCGTCTCCAAGTGAGTGATTCTCAACAAAAAAAGGAAAGCCAGGTTCCGCATCGCTGTAGACGAACCGCCGTCTTCCGTTCTCCAAACTGCAGATGATCCTTCTGCTTCGTACCCAACACCTCGTTTGACAAGTTGGCTCGAATGCTACGTCTCAGAAGTGCTCTGAATCCTTGATCCTGGGGCACCGAGACTTCCAGAAGTCAGCCGGCCAGTCAACGCTCAGAATACACCTCCGACGGGGTGGGTGGTCGGCATCGGGATGTCTGCCAAAGTGAGTGCTGAGTGCGTTACGGTTGCCGGCAGCTATTGGCCCCCGTCGAACACACACCTACATGATGAGGATCGATCTCAGACTCAGGCACATCAGGTCACCCGCTAGGCCTCAGAGTGGCCGCTTCAAAAAGAGAGACACCAGGCAGCCCGACCATTTCTGAACCCTCGGCCGGACGGCCTCTCCTTCTCGACGCTAACCCTGTCTCAGAGATCAGTGGGAAGAAAAGCAACAAGTTGAGTGGATCAGCACTCTATGACAACCATGCTTGGCTGCAGGGCAAGGATAGTGGACTGCACAGAAACCGAAAGAGCAGCCTCCATAAAGACGAGCAGAGATCCCTCTTAGCCGCCGGAGAATGGCCCCTATTTTACTGCGAAATGGCATTCAGATAGATCTTCTCCTCTTATCCGACGAATTTTTCGTGGTTGAATCGTTACCCTGGTATTCTTAGGACAAACGGACGGTGCATCAAGGTTGCATTTTGATATCGGAGTTTCCTTGTCGGTTTGGGTACTTGCAGCGTCGTCTTTGGAGGCATCCGTTGAGGAACCGGTTCGACGCAGCCGCTTCGTTGCGTATTCCCCGCAGACATCGATATTGCCGGCCAGTGGCAGCTTGACGGCGTTGGTCCTGGAAAATCCAAAGGACAGCTTGAGCTGGAGTTCTGGATACACGGTTCGATCAGTCCTATAAAACTCGCACTGCTGAGAGATACTAATACGACTTGCAGACTCTCTCGAATATTGACGACATTCTTGGTACCGAATCGCTCAACCGTATCAGCATCTTTGCTTGAGCGAGACGAAGTGCAGCGAACCAGGCAGCCGAAGGAAGAATCGCAGATCTAAAGAAGGGGTCGACTCGCCATCTTCGCTGGCAGCAAGTCGTTCAGCAGCTACCAAGCATCATCTTCCGCAAGAAGACAGATTCGACTACTTTTGGAAGAGCAGGTGCATCATTCACGATCGAGTGGTGCTTTTGGTTGACGCAGGAGAAGGAAGTTGACATCGCCTGACTGCCGCTACTACGGCTTGCTCAAGGTGATCGTTCCATTGAAGATCATCGTCGACTGTTTCCTCCGATTTTGACATTTCTCTCCTCAATTCGGGGAAGAACATCGTTAGGTCAACAGATTCAGGAATCCTTGAGACATCGAGCAGAAGGAAGAAGCAGTGAGAAGTAGAAGGAAAGAAAGCTTGTCTCCACGGCCCATCTCCCATTCCAATCACACTTCTAGGTACGTCCCCTTTCTCCTGTCCCTAGGATACACGATCCCCCTCAACCCTTATCGACAACATGTTTCAAGCTGAAAGGAAGGAATGAGGTTTAACTCTATGCTACGGGGAAGTTGCTAACATTGGGAAAGTAGCACGGCACAGCCATTGGTGCTGGCAGCTGACACCCACCGGGCCTTTCCCCCGGTCCGAACTGACGGGGCCACCTCTTTGCCCCCCGGGTGCCCTCACCTTCTCTGCTTACATCGTCACTTGTCTTGTTCTGCCTCTCAAGCAAAATCTTCTCTTTCCCACACACCCAGACGCTTTTCAACCTCTCCTTCCAGCTTCAACTAATCCAACAAACTTGGGCTGCAGAGGAAGGCAAAGGAAAGCAAAGCATCCTTACCTTAGGTACGTCCCGTCATCTACTTGCTCGCCCTTTATCTTCTGCCAATGCCCCAAGTCCGGCTTCGTTTCCTCCATCTTCTCTCTTTTCTCCTGACCACAGCATCACCACCACACTTCTTCAACCCACCACACAGTCTCTTTGACCCCGACTGCTCCCGATAGCTTGTTCCATCTTTTTACTGACCACTCGCTTCTTCACAGAGTCTTTGGTAACAACATTTCCCATTGTTGACGTTGTTCGAGTCTACGTTCGATTCCAAGCCTCTGTTCATATCCAGACGACAAAGGTAAGTTTTGGCTTTACCGCCACACTGCACGTAAAATTCCCCATGCCCTGTTTGTCTTTGATAGCATCACATTCTTCCCCATCCAATAGTGTCACCTGTTGGCGGTGTGACCATTTTGTTGCAAGCGCCCAATTTGTTGGAGATCGTATCGATCTTGCAGATTTCCTTGCCATTCCCCTCTGCTCCACCAGCTTGTCCATCCTCTGGAATCTTCTCACTACTACTCATCGCATGTCATCAAGTACTGCAACTTCATTCGCTGACCCTTACTAGTCCCAATTCGCAGAAAGGCCGACTCAACGCCTCTTTTCAACCCTTGGAACCCATTGAAATCGTTCCTGTAAGTGCAACATCGCGTCCGTCCAAACCCCGGACTTCGTGTCAACCTTCCAGAATAGCACTCGCCCCAGTGCCTTGCGGCTTCTGTTTGACACGGGAGAAAGCTTCTGGAACGCTGCTAAGTGATCGATGTTCAGGACCGCAGGCTTGACTATGTCTTATCAGACTCACAGCATGGACCCCAAACACTCTGTCGCCTATGCTGGACCTGGCAATCACGCCAGTCAGTTCCCCGAGAACCAGATGCCCAACATGATGGGTAGCGTCGACGCCTTAAATGGTGCTATCGGTCAGTTCCAAAACATGACCTTGGGTAACGGCATGCCCCACAACGTTGGTGGTATGGGACAGATAGCTACAGGCCATCCGTACATGATTCCCCAGGATTATATCCTGGCTCCTCATCTGCCCTCTGCCTTGGGGATGGATCACCTCTCTCAGGGCCCGTACGGACCAAGTGGCTACTTGGCTGCGCCTGGACAGTTCAGCCCTTACGTCCCCTACCCCATGATGCCCTTTACCCCCGGTCGCGCCGTCAGTGGCAACTCGGCTCTCCAGGACCGTACCAACCGCGGCCACAACGACGTGCCCGGTCTTGAGAATCGTCGTCACAGTGGAGGTTCTTACACCACCACCGAGTCTGCTCCTACGACTCCTTTCTACAGTGGCGCCGGCAAGAATGACAAGGGCCCCCGCGTTGCTGCGCTTGATCGTTCAACCTACACCACGCCGTCTCCCCAGCAGCTTGTCGGCGGCAATATCTTCGTTGAACCTGCTGCCAAGCACGGCGTCATCACTATTCCGGTCGACCGCAACTTGGAGGAGATCCTCAAGCAGGATCCTCCTATCCCCAAGGCCGTTCCTGCAGTCTTCACCCCTGCCACCCAAATGAAGACCTTGGATCAGAGTTTGGAGAATAGGATCCCGGGCAACCGCAATGTTTACATTCGCGGTCTTCATCCGACCACTGATGATGAGCTCTTGTACCGCTTCACTTCCCGCTTTGGCGAGGTGGAGACTTCCAAAGCCATCATTGACACGTCCACTGGTGCCTGCAAAGGGTAAGTTGGGTCGAGCCTGGTTTTCCATGCACCCTTCGCTAACGACTAAATAGTTTTGGCTTTGCCAAGTTCTTCGACGCCCGCGACTCGGAGATGTGCATTCGAGGCTTCCATCGTCTCGGATATGAGGTCGGCTTTGCTCGCGTATGTTCTGATCTGCAACTATCCAGTGTCCAGCACCCATTGTCTAACGTATATTGCAGGAATCTTTCAACTCTCGCCTCAAGGCCGAGGGTGACGAGGGCTCTACCAACCTCTATATCTCCAACCTCCCCAAGAGCCTGACGGAGAATGTGAGTTTGCGCTGACCTTTTTTTATTTTGTTTTTGGGGCTTTCGCTATGCTGAATACTGACACCTCCAGGACCTCGGCGATATCTTCAGAGGCTACCACATTATGTCGTCCAAGATCCTGCGTGATAGCATGGGCAACAGTCGTGGTGTTGGCTTCGCTCGGTATGTGACTCCTGACCACTCTCGAGGGCCGTATGTTAATTGGCCCAGTTTCGAATCCCGCGATGTTTGTGATGTCGTCATTAAGCAGTTCAACGGCATTCCCATCGGCGAGGAGGGCATGGTGATGAACATTCGCTATGCTGACACTGCTGGTCAGAAGGAACTGAAGCGGGTCACTGCTGAGCGTCGCCAGTTCCGTACCAATGAGTACAACATCGGCGCCTACGGCACTCCTCTTGTTGGCATTCAGCCCAACATGTACAACCAGCCGGCTTGGAAGCGTGCTCTGCACTCCACGGCGAACAGGTGAGCACCCGTCACCCAATCCATTTCTGACTTCAATTGCTGACCACTTGCCACAGCTACGCCCCTCGTTCCATGACTGGAGGTCTCGATCGGATGGGTAAGGGGGTCAAGGCTGATGACTACCAGGCGGGCACTGTTCAGGGAAATACCCAGTACGGTGACCATTCTCGCCATTGGAGCATTCTTCTTGACTAACCTGCTTGTTCAGATCACCCGCGGAGACTACCGTTGTCGAGATTTCGTCCACCGAGAGCGACGAAGGCGTGACTATTCATGCCGACTCGGCCACGCCCATCATTGTCAGCACCCAGTCGTCCCCTATTTGCAAGAAGGAGAAAAAGTGACTTCGAGTTGTGAGGGAATAGGAGTGTCAGCGTATTTTCCGGGTGCATCATTCCTCGTCTTGTTCCGCAGATTTCGGAGTTTCTGCGTTTCAGCACACATGGCAGTATGGTTTTGATCAGGGAACATATTATGCTCTGAGGTAGCTCATACTCTTGATGCATTCTGTATGAATGGCGCCAGCTTTTAGTTCTTGTACCTTAGTTTTTGGGAGGCAGATCAAAATCGGGACGGCGTAACGCTTTTTTTGCCACAGACTCATGAAGTCGGAAATTGTAACATGAAAAATTTCCAGCCACAGATGATCCGTATTCATGAGAAGCAATTGTGCACCAGCAAGCAAGACAAGGGGTTCTGGAACTAGTGAAGGATCTATTCTTTGATTCTTCGACGGCTCAGGTCTCGTCTGCCACCGTCAACTTTGAGAATTTTTGGGTATCAACTCCATCCTCTGCTCTTCCACCTATCTGTACTTCTTTTCCATCCCCCTTTTCGGTTGAGACGCTTGCATCTTCAGCGTCTGGCGCCTCATCGCCTGACTCCTCCTCCTCCTCCTCCTCATCGTCTTCCTCGGAACCGTACTCCCCGTCGTCATCGCCCACGAAGTCACCCTCGTCGTTCTTAGAAGCGGCCTGTTCCTGAATAGCCTTCTCCAGATCCTTGGCCATCTTCTTCGTGAAACCAGATGCCGTCAAAGTCGCATCTATTCTTGTGGCGCCGCCCTTGCCAACCAACTTCTTTGCATCCTTGTAGAATGGTCCTGGTGTCGTGGCGGTAAATTTAAATCTCTTTTCGAAAAAGCGCTTGATGCAGTTGACATCTCTGTCAAAGTACATTTCTGCGTTCTCATGATCCATAGACACCATTTGGGGGAAGTCGATGACGATTGGTACCAATGTAATCGTCTCCTCATCCCCTTCTTCCGTTGTGGCGACGGAAACCTCCTCCTTGATAAGAATGTTGAACTCGTTGTAATCTCCGTGAATAAGTCCATGCTTAGCCAAGCGGAGTAGCAGATCGATCAGCTCAGAGTAGAGAAGCGCAGGATCTGGGACATTGGCTATTTGGCGGAGAGGAAACGAATCGATAAAGGACATGACAATGGTGTGTCGGTTTTGAGCGATGGGTTCGGGCACGGGGAATCCCTCATCCTTCAGAGCCTTCATGAACGCAAACTCCTTCATCGCTGCGAGCCTTGAAAGGTACATCCAGGATCCTGACTGTTTGTTCTTGAGGTAGTCTCGGTTCGACTTGACTGTCCGGAAAGAGATACGACCGAGTCTGTGGATCTTGAGAATGCACTGCACGCCTCGGTCGTCGGCAACCATAACAATATCGCTTTCTTTTCCGACTCCGACTCTGCTGCCGACGCTGTAAACCTCCTTGCGTGTCGAGTACGTGTGCATCGCGAGATAGTCAAGACCACCGTAGGTGAGGCGGTATCCGTCATATTTGGCCTCCTTGACCTTGGCGATGAGGCCGACCTTGGCGAGGTTGGAGATGGAACGGTGCACGCCGCTTGCACCGCCGCGGAGGCGCGATAACTTCTCGATCAGCGACGTCGGGACCAGCTCGTGGTTCTTGGTGCCTTGTTCAACCTTGGGATCCTGTGAGTGGGCTGCCTGGAGGGGTTATGGAGGGGTAGGGTGAGGGAGACGAACTGCTGCGAGGACCTTCCAGTCCTCGGCGGCCAAATGCCGCAGTGCTTTGGTATCCAAATGCATCTAAGTTATTCTGCGATCGCAGCAAAAAGCATCGGTGAAATAGGACTGAAGTTGAAATTCTTCCTTTAGTTCTCAAGGTGCTGGATTATGAGCCCAAGAACCCCTCCATTGGAAAAAAAGTAGCCAGGGTATGAATATGCGCTATCGATAACACGGATAAGATAAGCTTGGCCGGGACGGGGCCATCGACTCCCGGCGGTCACGTGGCAGGCTAAACACCCCAAGCCCAGGTGTGTCTGTGCGGCAGGCAGGCCAGGCTCGTACGCAACCGGGGAGCTTCGACTTGTTGCTTAGCTTTACAAAGCTACCATCACCTTCCATCTCCCTCACGAACCACAACCGCCCGCCACCCTATCCTTCTCTCAATCTCACACCATTGATCCGACATCTACTCCTCGAAGAACTACACAGAGAAACGCGCCGATTCTCGACCCAACTTCCGAGGACATACCCCACCCGTAAAGAGTCCACAAACACACGTCAAGATGGCGCAGGACAGCGAGAAGCCTACCGCTGCCGACAAGGGCAAGGGAAAGGCCGTAGAGGACAGCAAGAACGAGAAGTCTCAGGTCAACGGCAAGAAGGAGGATGAGAAGATTGTCGACTGTGAGCGATATGGGCTGTCTCGCGAGATTGATGAGGGGCTAACTGTTTGCAGCTGCGGAGGAGCTTAGCGAAGAGGACCAACAGCTGAAGAACGAGCTGGATATGCTCGTCGAGCGCCTGACGGTGCGTTGTAATGATTGCAGCGTTGGTGCAATTCGAAGTATGCTAACGTGGTTTCCAGGAATCCGATGCCTCTCTCTACAAGCCGGCCCTTGAGGCCATGAAGAACTTCATCAAGACGTCAACCTCGTCAATGACGGCCGTGCCTAAACCGCTGAAGTTCCTGAGACCACACTACGAGACGATGACAAAACTGTTCGAGGACTGGCCGAAGGGAGACAACAAGACGTCACTCGCAGATGTTTTGTCAGTGATTGGTATGACGTATTCCGACGAGGACCGACAAGACACCCTTAAGTACCGCCTGCTTGCACCGTCATCCGACATTGGATCATGGGGCCACGAGTACACCCGGCATCTGGCTTTGGAGATTGGCGAGGTGTACGGGAAGAGGATAAACGCCGACGAGCCGACGAAGGACCTGGTCGACCTTGCCTTGATTCTTATCCCGCTCTTCTTGCAAAGCAATGCCGAGGCAGACGCTGTGGACCTGATGAGCGAGCTCGAGATCATCGACCAGATCCCCAATCACCTCGACAAGGACACGTACGGCCGCGTCTGCCTTTACATGGTCAGCATGGTCAATCTACTGACTTACCCCGACAACGAGCTATTCCTCAAGACCGCTCACGACATCTACTTGACATACAAGGAGTACGCTCTGGCAATGACCCTTGCCATTCGCCTCAACGACGTCGACCTCATCAAGGCCGACTTCGAGAAGGCCGAAGACCCCGCCTTGAAGAAGCAGCTGGCTTTCCTCATCGCACGGCAACGCATTGTCTTGGACCTCCCCGCAGAGGACGCAGACGCCCAGGCAGTTGTGGAGTGTCTGTCGAACCTCAAGCTGTCCGACCACTTCAAGTCGCTGGGCAAGGAGCTCAACATTCTGGACCCCAAGTCCACAGAAGATATCTACAAGAGCCACCTCGAAAGCAGCCGCGTTGCTGGCATGACCAACCTCGATTCTGCCCGTCACAACCTGGCTGCCGCTTTCGTCAACGCCTTCGTGAACGCCGGCTTCGGCAACGACAAGATGATGCTGGTTGAGCAGGACAAGGAAAGCTGGGTGTGGAAGACCAAAGGCGACGGCATGATGTCGACTGTGGCCTCCCTGGGTACTCTGTTGTTGTGGGATGTCGAGGCTGGCTTGGACAAGATCGACAAGTACACCTACGCTGCTGAGCCCGAGATCTTGGCTGGCTCGATGCTTGCCATTGGTATCATGAACTCAGGAGCACGTGTTGACTCTGAGCCCGCTCTGGCATTGTTGGGTGACGAGGACAAGCTGCACCACAAGAACCCTCTTGTCCGGACCGCCAGCATCATGGGTCTGGGTCTCTCCTACGCAGGCTCAAACAACGAGCTCCTCCTCGAGCTCCTTTTGCCCATCATCACTGACTCGTCCCAGGAGATGCAAATTTCAGCCATGGCTGCCTTGTCCTGCGGTCTGATCTTTGTCGGCTCCTCCAACCCTGAAATCAGCGAGGCTATCGTTACGACATTGCTTGACGACGACCGCAAGAACCAGCTCACAGACAAGTGGACTCGTTTCCTGGCACTTGGTCTCGGACTGCTCTTCTTTGGCCGTCAAGAAGAGGTTGACGTCATCCTTGAGACCCTCAAGGCCGTTGACCACCCGATGGCGAAGCCGACGGCTGTGCTGGCCGAGATCTGCGCTTGGGCAGGCACCGGTGCCGTTCTGAAGATTCAAGAGTTGTTGCACATCTGCAATGAGCACATTGAGGATTCGGACGAGAAGAAGGGCGACGAGCTTCTCCAGTCATACGCAGTGATCGGTATCGCACTCGTTGCCATGGGCGAGGATGTAGGCCAGGAGATGGTTCTCCGGCAGTTCGGCCACCTCATGCACTACGGCGAGCCCAACATTAGGAGAGCAGTCCCTTTGGCCATGGGTCTGATCAGCCCCAGCAACCCTCAGATGAAGGTCTACGACACACTCTCCAGATACTCTCACGACAACGACAACGATGTGGCTATCAATGCCATTTTCGCCATGGGTCTCTTGGGTGCGGGTACGAACAATGCTAGACTGGCTCAGCTGCTCAGACAGCTGGCCAGCTTCTACCACCGCGACCAGGAGTCTCTCTTCATGGTGCGTATTGCCCAAGGCCTTTTGCACATGGGCAAGGGCACTATGTCGGTCAACCCTTTCCACACTGACCGCAACGTTCTCTCGCGCGTGTCCACTGGTGGCTTGCTCGCTGTTTTGGTCGCCATGATCGATGCCAAGTCTTTCATCACATCTAACTCACACTACCTGCTCTACTTCCTGGTAACGGCGATGCACCCCCGTTTCTTGGTGACGTTGGACGAGGACCTCAAGCCGTTGAAGGTCAACGTCCGCGTTGGTCAGGCAGTGGATGTCGTCGGCCAGGCGGGTCGGCCTAAGACTATCACCGGCTGGCAAACACAGAGCACGCCGGTCGTCTTGGCGTACGGCGAGCGTGCAGAGCTTGAGGACGAGCAGTACATCAGCTTGAACAGTACACTAGAGGGATTGGTGATTCTCAAGAAGGTACGTTTGAAGACACGATTTCCAAGGTGAAAGAGTGCACTGCTAACTGGTTACAGAACCCCGACTGGGTAGAGGAGAAATAGATGATTTCAGGGTGTTACGGGGACCTGGGGTCGTAGGTCCAGGCTTGGGACTGGGACACGATACACTGTATAGTAATCTTACGTCTGTGAGTGGCATTCGGAATGTCATCAGACAGATGAGATCCCACATGAATAGACGGATCAGCTACTGCAATGAAGAGGCGTTTTCACGTTTGCATATTTTCGAAAGTGATATGTTCTCGAATGCATGTACAATTCGTCGCGACTCCCAATTGGTATTTGATTATGTCTGCCCGTAGAGCTGCGACAGGGTGTTGACCAGGACCTCGATGCAACGAGGAGCGGTTGCGGCTGCGTGGTGGGTTTGTGTGGTCGTAGATGTAGATGCTGACCAAGCGACTCCGCTTGCCTCATGCAGCAATTTTTGCCGGCATGAGCCAATCGCCGTTGGTTCTGTAATATCGGGTGGTTTCCAGCGATCCGAAATACGATGAGATTATAACATCAAGTAATCGGCACTGATACAGCTCAATACCAACCTCTAAGACCTTGAGGAATCGAGACGTTGCGTATGCACATGGGATATCTTGTTTCCCCATGTGCTCCCTAGATGGGCGAGGACGAAAGAAAGGTCTCGCTTGTACGTAATACACGTCACGCTTGGTGCATGGGGGGATATTGCCTGTAAACCGATACGGGCACAGCGGACGGGCACGACGGGGAAGTGGACGGGACGGGATAGATAAGGGATAAGTTGCATGGGGTGGTGTTGAAGGTCCAGAAAAACTAAGCCAGGCTGAGGAGAGCTGACCGTGGTGCCGCGGTGTAGCCCTGTCCGATGCCTACCTTATGCGAAGGCGCTGGAGTCTGGGAGACTTCGGAGAGGAGGGGCCAAAAATTGCTAGCGTTGGGTGGAGGCTGGGGGATGTTGGAAGTGGAGAGGAGGGGATGGGAATTGTCCGGGCAGAAAAAAGGGATGTTCTGGGCTGGGGATATTGTGAGCCCGTGTTGTGACAATATAGGTGAATAGATATACTGATGGCACACGAGGCTTCGAGTTCAAGGTTGAGATTAGTAGCTTGCGAAGAGAGGGCGTTTCAAAATTCGAGTCTGTACTGTGTAAATGTGAGTGCGAGGGTGCGCCGGGATGTTACACGATGCGATTGCGTGTGATGATGATTGGGGTCCGTTGGTCGGATGTTATTGTTGGACGTGAACATTGAGCCTCTCTGGCCGATGGAGAGGATTCCGGGGTCCCGGTCGCGACGGCGGAGCCCGGGGAGGCGGCCGCCGCGCCCCCTTCGGCGGGATGCGTCGCATCTGGGCTTGTCTCTGTCTCGGCTTCCTTATCAGTTCTGGGCCTCTCTCTTTTGCGAGTTACAGCGATGAATCTTGGTGTGTGTGGTATACATGAGATGAAGGGACAAACATGGAAGTAGCTCCCATCCGCTGAACGGTTCCAAAGGGCGGGAAAGCTGCCAACCTGCCAAAAGGTAAAAGTTGGTTAGATCTGCAGGAGATGCAAGAAGGATGCGGGATGCCAAGCTTTGAAATGGAAGGCAAGATGCTACCTACGGGATTTAGATTCCCTGTTGTGTCATTGGCCGGATGAGTCAGGCGATTGGCGGGCGGCGGTTCGCTTGCAACGTGCCGTGGTGGGATGAAAGGAAGGCACGAGTTGTTAGTTGTATGCCATATTGTGCTTACCTACCTACACAGTAGGCTGCTAGTGAGATGGATGGCAAGTGACAACGGGATGTATCATGTCAGAGCTGCAAGGTAAGTGAAGCTAATGGAAGTCTACTAAGGTACGTACGGAGCACCTGCCTTCGGATATCAGTTAGGGAAAGTACGGATACAAGCTTGACAAGGTGCAAGCAAGTGCGAGAGAGGGCGCCACTGCCATGCGAGGCGGTGGATCGCGCAATTACTGGGTGGATACCCAGGCGAATCTAGCCGCATCGCGCTTCGCGGGCAACAACGGGGAGACCCTGGGAAAGCAAGAGCGAGACTGGATCACTGGACTGGGAATTCCTCCATCTTTTCCTCTCTCGGCGCTCTCCTTCTTTTCCATCCATGCTTGTTTTCCATGCGCTACTTCGTCAAGGTACTTCGTTACGTTGTACGCGTTCCCTGGCAGTGGCACCGTAGCCCAAAGATGGTCTTATTCCCAAGCTTTTGCCTCGGGAAATGCGCGCCCAGCCCACCTCGTCTACAGCAACTGGAAGGGCGCGCGGGTGACGCTTCCGACTTCCTATCTATAGACTAATAACTTCCTCGTCACCCCTCCACCGCCCACGTTCATGTCCTCCTCCTCCTCATCTTCTTCCTCCTTTCTTCTTGCCGAGCTTTCTCCTATCTGCAAGCTCTTTCTTCTTTGACTTTTAAAAGAACCTGCGACCAGGGAAAGGAAACCACATCATACGACAAGACCATCCGACCATTGGCAATCGTTCCCGCGTAAAAAGACTGCATTGGCGCTTGCTCGCTTCTCCAACATCTTTCTTGGAGAAGCGCAAATCGGACGTTGTAGTTTCGGAGGCGCGCGAAAGTCGTCCATTCTACACCGACACCGGCCTGAGCAATTCCTCCATTGCATTCGACCGCGCAACATCGTCTTACCTGAGATTCCCCGTTCGGAGCACCAATACGCGTGCAGTTTACCGGTTGGAGTCACCCAGCGGATTGCGCAACTCGGATTGGAAATCGAAGCGAGAGCACAACGTTCTATTCTAGTACGGCGGAAAAGGAGGTGTGACTGACACCCGCGTCTTTACATCTACACTCGAAAGTCGGTCAGCAACAACTACACACCATGGGGGATGACCGCAGTATTCCCATCAAGGCGGCTTCTTCGAGCCGCGACTTTGTCGCCCAGCTCAGCTCGTCTTTCATGACGGGAACGCCACCCGCACAAGAACTCCTGGCAAGAGATTTGGCGGAATGCTCAGAGGACGAATACGTCGACGAAAATGAGGATGCCATCGGCTCCGAGGACGAGGACGTGTCCGCGGAGGGCCCTCTCTTTTACCGCCGCCCGAGCGGTGTCGCATTCGGCACCTCCCGCCCCGTCATGAACCCGCAGCCGATATACGCAGCCGAGGAACCACCAGTTCTCACCAGAGTCGAGAAAAAGCAGTCGCGCGATGCCGAGCTGAGTTTGTTGCGTGATAATCATCTTTTGCCTCCCAAGCATGCCCGAGAGGAAAACGAGCCATTCTATCGCCGTGCCTACAGACGCCTCTTCAGCACAAAGGTCCCACTTGAGCCTCACGATGAGGAGGCACCGCAGGTCGTCGTTCGCCGACCGACTGAGTCGACTCCCTTATTGTCTGGCACTACCCCGGCTCCCGATGCCGACGGCCTCGAGAACCTCAACGAGCAATGGGAAGCGGCTGTCTCGACGGGCCAGCTTCGCACTACGTGGCAGCGTGAGGCCAAAACCATCATCCAATATGCCAGCCCGCTCATCGTCACATTCATGTTGCAGTACTCGATCAATGTCGTTTCCATCTTTGCCGTAGGACATATCGGTAAAATAGAACTTGGCGCTGTGAGCTTGGCAACCATGACGGCCACTATCACTGTCTACGCGCCTTTCCAGGGGCTGGCAACGAGTCTCGACACCCTATGTGCGCAGGCCTACGGCTCCGGACACCGCCATCTCGTCGGCCTACAATTTCAGCGCATGACTTATTTCTTGCTCATGTGCTTTGCTCCGCTCGCTGTCCTGTGGTTCTTCAGTGAATCGGTATTGCGGCTATTGATCCCGGAGCCCGAGTCGGCGCGGCTGGCCGGCCAATACCTGCGTGTGCTGATTCTGAGCGGACCGGCTTTCGTCTTCTTCGAGGGCGGGAAGCGGTTCGTGCAGGCGCAGGGTCTATTTCAGGCCACCACATGGGTTCTCTTGATCGCCGCGCCCATCAACATCCTGTTGAATTGGCTGTTTGTCTGGAGGTTGGGATGGGGTTTCATCGGAGCTCCTGCTGCGGTTGTCTGCACCCAGAACCTGCTTCCGCTGTTGCTGTTCCTTTACGTGCGCTTCATCGACGGATACCAGTGCTGGGGCGGTTTCAGCAAACGGGCTCTGTCAAATTGGGGCCCGATGCTTCGCTTGGCTTTGCCCGGCATGATCATGATTGAGGCCGAGTACATGGCTTTTGAGATCCTGACCCTTTTCTCGAGCCAGTTTGGTCCGGAGTACTTGGCGGCTCAGAGCGTCGTGGTCACGCTGTGTGCCATTACCTACCAGATCCCCTTCCCCGTCAGCATCGCGGCGTCCACCCGAATTGCTAACCTCATTGGTGCCGGGTTGGTGGATGCGGCAAAGATTACCGGCGGAGTGGTAAGTTTAGACCCCTCCATCACACGCTCAAGGAAGACCTGGTTTCAAAGAATGATGTTCTAACTGGTTTGACAGGCATTCGCGGCAGCTTTGATTGTGGGCGTATTCAACGTCATTCTGTTTGGTAGCTTGAGGTTCCACCTGCCACGACTCTTTACCAATGACGAAGAGGTCATTGCCATCGTGGCCAACGTGCTTCCACTGTGTGCGCTGATGCAGGTCTTTGACGGCCTATCCGCGGGAGCCCACGGTTTGCTGCGTGGCATTGGCCGTCCTTCCATCGGCGGCTATGCGAACTTGACAGTGTACTACCTCATTGCGATGCCCATCTCCTTTGGGACCGCGTTCGGTCTTGATTGGAAGCTCAAGGGGTTGTGGCTGGGCGTCACGATTGGACTTGCCTTGTAAGTCTTATGTTCCGTTGTTTAGTTTTCTCTTCCCTCTGTGCCCTCCGGTTTCTTGACAGGTTTCTGCTGGATTCCCCGAACATGGGATGAGGGACGAAGAGATTACGTGTGAGAGGAACTTGGCTGACTCATGCGCTATGGTACAGGGTGGCTATTATCGAGTATTCGTTCGTATACTTCACGGACTGGCACAAGGCGGCCAAAGAGGCGGAGTCGAGAAACCAGGCCGAGTGAAACGTCCTTGGCCAAGAGTTCGTTTACGACTTCTTACATGTTCCCTGGAACCGGTCAGCGGGGTCATGATAACTGTTTGGCTAAAAAATCGTGATTTAATGATCAACTATTGGAGATGTACGTCTGGGCATGTCTTGATTCGCATCTGATGGGCCTTGAATTTCTGGCTTCATCATGATTAGCTAGCAAGCGAGCGAGCAACGCAAAGCATAGCATAACATAGGTTTAAAAGTAATTGACGGGAGCGGGAGAAGAAGACAATGAATGATCCCAGGACGATACGGATGCGGGCTCGGCCGTTACAATGCCATGTCAAAGTGTCTGCGACTCTGCGTTGCTCTCGCTCGTTGAGACCAAGTCAGGCAAGTTGGTGCATCCGTTCGATACCTTGGCTTGGGTGTACCGTGGGTATGGTCCTGTGACGTCTGTGGGAAATGCACGCTCAGATACTGACGGACGTCCGTGATGGTTCGCGACAGAAACGTGGGCATTTGTGCCTGTCAAGCCGGGATTCTCGAAACATTCCATTGCCAGCAGAGAGAACATGGGCATGGAGTTGTATTATGTACCAGATTACTTCATCGTTGGAGGCTTGGGACGCATCACAAAGAGAGGCTCGTTGAGCATTAGGGGAACTTTCAGTCCCTCCCATCACTTCATTGATGAAGAAGGTTCAAAATGGGTATCCTAGCTTGTTTCCCCAGCTATGATTCGTTGCTCTTGAAGTTTGGAGGTATGGTGCCAGTGCAGAAGCTCTCTCGGACTCAAGGATCGTCTTCTGGCCTGGGCAGCGCAGAACCAACTCCAAAAGGCGAGCTAAGCCAACAGGACAGGGATACGGGAGATTGGCAAATTGGGACCCAAATTGGGGCCACAGCGAAACCAGTGACAAACATCGATAGTCGGGTCTGTGAATTGAATCGATTTTAGGTGTGCCATTGGGGGGGAACGAATGGCAGGTGCAGGGGTATGAGGGGCACTGTACATTTTTCGACAGTTTCCCGCCTTTGGAGGGTGGAGGGGAAGAGGAAGAAGGGGAAGGGGAAGGGGGACCCCTCCTTTTCTGCGAATCGCTACGGATACGTTGGTACCAATTTCTCGTCCTTGCGCAACCTCTCTCTACCTTTACTCTCCCACTCTCGCACATTCGCAACTTCGGACGGGGGAAGTTCCGAACGGTTAACTCTTTTTGCTCTCACAGAACTGTCCACGGTGTCTTTGCGCATCTTATAAGAAGAGTGGTATGTCTCCCTCGCCCCCCTTGTGCGCACGCGCGAAAGCTATTTCTCTAGCTATAGCTAGTTGTCAACAACATCAGAGAGGAGAAGAAAAAAGTTTCGAAATTGGGAAACTGACGCAACACGCGACACACAGAAAGGAACACACGCACCAGACTTTCACAAAGCCACGAGCACAGAAAGCACCATGTCTACTACCACGACGACCACGACGACGGCCAACGAGGCCATTACGGCCGAGTCGATCCTGCGCCTCTTCCCCGACATCGACACCAGCACCGAGGCCCTCTCCGGCCATGATGCCGAGCAGATTCGGCTCATGGACGAGGTGTGCATTGTGCTAGATGAGAATGACAAGCCTATTGGCAATGCTAGCAAGAAGGCCTGTGAGTAGTTTCTCCTGTGCTTCTTTGGCCGTTTGCTGGGTTTGTGTTGTAAAAAGCATCCTTGCACGAGTTGGTTGTTGCGGTGACTAGCCAAGCGCTGCAGCTGTTTTATCACAACAGAGAGAGGGGCCAGCAAGATGGCGCAAAGGGGAGGGGAAAGCAGCAAGACAAACAATCGACTGACACAAAACTCCAAAACAACAGGCCACCTCATGACCAACATCGACAAGGGCCTTCTCCACCGCGCCTTCTCCGTCTTCCTCTTCGACCCGGAAACCAACCGCCTGCTCCTCCAGCAGCGCGCCACGGAGAAGATTACGTTCCCCGACATGTGGACCAACACGTGCTGCTCCCACCCGCTGGGCATCCCCGGCGAGACGGGCGCGAACCTCGAGGATTCTGTCGCGGGCGTCAAGCGCGCTGCGCAGAGGAAGCTGGAGCACGAGCTGGGCATCGACCCGAAGCAGGTGCCCTTTGACGACTTTCACTTTCTGACGAGGATTCATTACAAGGCGCCTAGCGATGGCAAGTGGGGAGAACACGAGAGTATGTTTTTCTTTCTACCCACTGTTCCCTATCGTCGCCCCACCCCTGGAAGAAGAGCTAGGAACAAGGCAAACGCGTAGTTGTTACTAACTTGACAACAGTCGACTATATCCTCTTCATCAAGGCCAAGGTCGACCTGAAGCCCAACGAGAACGAGGTCCAGGCGACGCAGTACGTCAGCGCCGACGAGCTCAAGAAGCTGTTTGAGGACCCCCAGCTCAAGTTCACCCCCTGGTTCAAGCTCATTTGCAACTCGATGCTGTTCCAGTGGTGGGAGAGCCTCGACTCTGGGTTGGAGAAGTACACCAACGAGCAGGAGATTCGTCGTATGTGAGACGAGCCGCTTGGAGTCTTTCTTGGAGACAGTGCCATGGGTCTGGGTGGCGGTAGGGGAGCGGTAAGCCACAAGGTGTCGGTCGTGCGTGAGCATTAGACGTGGAGTTTGTTATTTCCAGTTTTCTGTTGTGCATGTGGTGGCAAACAAAAGAGACACTGTTGAAGTGCTCCCCCTTTTTTTCTATTTCTGAAATTTCCATAATCCTAGATATCCCCCTTTTTTGATCACATGAATACGACTTGGGGCGCTGGCTGCTGGCCACGTTGAAAGAAGTACTCGCACCAATGGGAAATATGGAGTGAACGATGATGTTGAGAGGGATTGGGTTACGCTTCTCTCATCGACGTAGGGTTTGATGAGAGACTGGCGATGTTCATCCAGCCCTTCTTTGAGACACCATGGGCATGGTAGAGGATATCTCAGAAGCAACGTTCAACCTCTGGGACTTTTTAAGTCTGGGGCTCCGAGTCATTTTTTATGAGCTGGTTGTTTGCTCTGTGTACACAGCTGAAAGGGTTGTTTTGGCTTTGGAAAAGGCCTATACACTTCTCTTGCGCTGCGCGTTCAATACCGGAGCTTGCCCAGTGACGGCAGCACAAAGCTTTAATCGCCAGTGTATTAGAGTCTGAATTGACCACCCTGGTGGAAAATGACAGGCTATCTTTCGTTTTCCCCGAGAAGTGCTCCGTCAGAAGGAGGCTGGATCTTGTGTTGTAGTATGATTTATTACTTGGGTTGACATTGCCCTCACGCCAGAGGGTGGGTAGATGTCTATGATTGGAGCTCAGAGTGCTTCGCATTGACTCATTGAATGCAGTCTAAATAGAAGCACCTCTTTGAAGTCAACTTCACCGAAATACGACGGAACGCGGGTCCAGACTCACAAGGTTGGGGGTTCTCTGCCAAATTTTGACACCTGTAAGGTGACAATGAAGGGCGATGTCTCTAAGTGGTGGCACCTTTATTTCTAACTGGGGTTTCCAATAATCTGAACGCAATTCAGATCATTTGGTGCTTTGATGATGACACTGAGGAGGAGCATGACATAAGTGCCTAACTGCTCACGATTTTGGTATACTCGTATGCGATGATTCTTCGCGAACTCATTTTGAATACTAGGCTGTTAGTCGAGACGCTTTCAAGCCGTAGAGGACTTGATTGCCTTCGGCCAAATTAGAGGAAGCCCTGGCAAGTATTCACCTAATAGTTTGAGATGAAGTCATTTGCAAGATAAAGAACCCCTGTTATAGTGAGCCACAGGGTCCGCCGGTGGATCCGAATGCACTTGTTGGACGTACAACTCGCTATGGGACTTGGTCCTTCGATAGTGTATCCGCAATCGTTATGGCTGCACGACCAGTGAACAAAATGCTCGATCGAGGACACTTTAATAAAATGACACATGTGGGCTTCGATATCACTCACTTAAAGGCGTCGACGAGTATCAATGGGCTTTGCAATAGGAGACTGGTCGACAGTAAACCGGAGCGATATCAAAGCTCGTCAGCAACGGATCGGAAAGATGAGAGGCAGTGTTGACAGACTCGGAGTGTTAGGAGTGTTATTGATGGAGACATTACTATTATCAATAAAAAGACACATTCATACACGCCCGAATACCATTTCATATCCACGTCGATTCTTGAGACAAGTAAAACTGGAAACCTACAGTCACGAGAAGAATGACAATCGTTTCCTATCAAAATTGCTTTACGAGGAAGATGAATGCAGCAGTGGAGTTTCTACCCGCGTCTGGTATGGCAAGTTGCATGCAGAGTCACGTCTCACCTCCACCAAACTTTCACCAGGGACAAGCAGAGTGGCCTAAGAAGGCGCTGTCTCGACACGTTGTCAGTTTCAATGCTGGACCAATGTCAATCAAGTCGATATGGGTGACTGAGCTCTCTTGAGTGTCATATTGTGTGCAAATTGATCTCCAGGGCAGCCTGCTGACATGATCTGAAGGGCTCACGGTCTTGAAAGTCACCTTGTTTCTGACAACAAAATACCCAGGTACCCAAGGTACGTCTCAAGTAAAGCCTTTAACGTGTGCATGTTTTCAGACCTGCCCGAGATACGACTTGCACTTCTTGCACGTTCTTACCCTCTCATCGTTGCTTCAAGACTGGGTTGGTTAGGCACGATGTGGTAATGGAGACGGGTAAGATCAATCCGCCCTTCCGCTCCAAACTGTCAAGTGCTATCTGAAGACATCTTGACACCAACAAGTCCGTTCAATGACAAACTCAACTCTACAACACCTCCTCTCGACTCCTCACGGATACCCACAAGAACAGCGTTGAAGATGGTCAACTCATTTCCATCAGCCTTCTTCAAACTTTGTATGTATCTCACAGCCTTCCGCCACAACTTTGTTCTTCAAAGCTAACTCGAATAAGGACTGCAAATAATCCAACAACTGATCTGAGTTTCCCATCGGTGAGAAACCCTCAGCCCCATCAACGAAAACCAGTCTCGCGGCACGTGAACTCCGAGAACAAGAGACACACGCGATCTGCCAACGATGGGCGCCGAGTGATACGAAGCAGTGCCCGACCAACGAAGCAACGGTTCAGCGATGCTCATTCCTCATACTTGGCAGAGCACTGCATATGCACCCCACGTGCGAAGGATGGCGCGGTAGTCAAGCTTGCTTATCGCATTACTCGTCACTGCATCTTCACCTCTTATCTCAGCAACATTCCTCGCCACTACCCACACAGCGCGAACGAGCAGAGCCTCCAAGACGCCAAGACTCTCCGCCTGACACTCACTGCAACTCATCCCACGCAGGTGTTTGTTGGGCCAAGCCTGGGAATGCCAGCTGATTCCAACCTTCCCAATGCTTCCCCTTTCCCAGGCTGGACCGGCCGTGGGACACGGAACCCGCCACAGGGTGCGGTGCATCCGGACACCGAGCCCCGGGAACGCCGTGGACCCTGGACGGAGCTGATAGGGATCAGTGGGACGCCTTGGCCGCATGAAGTACCACAACGTACTATGCCGTTATTGGCATGTCCAGCCGCCATCATTGGTCAGGTCTGGAAGTTATGTGACGGTTGATCCAAAGATACAGGCCACAGGCCACACTCAACTGACGATCTCTAGGATACCTGACCCAACGGCAGGATCTCACCAACCAGCCTTTTTCCCCCGCACACCGGCTGCCTTCCTCCATCTCCTTCGCGTGTCCCGTCACCAAGACATGCTCCAGTGAGGATAGGTCCCTCGCGCTGCGGCATCCGCTGATGCTCCTCAACCATTCAACCACGCTCTTATTAATTAGGCCGCTTCTACTCCGTACTCCATACAAAGATCATCCTCTGCGCTAGGTGGAGGCGAGCGGCGTTGGCTAGGACTGCATACCCGTACATACCTGGTTGGGATAGCCACCACCAGTCTCGATGCGGTACACGAACACATGCCCAAATCCCCACGACCAACGGCCGGACGTGATGCTTGAAAGCTGCAGCCCAGGTCACCCCAGCCCGCCTCCCCCTCATCAACGTTTACGCCGCCGTCCTCGTGCCACCCTCTATTACGGCATATCCTGATAGTTTGGATCCCATCAGCATGGTTCTGGTTAGTGTTGAGGCAAGCCAAGCCGGGTATCAAAGGTAAATTGCCCGCATACTGTCGGTGCAAGCAGCATGGCACGCCTTACTTTCCCCATCTGCTCCGTGTTGTGCGGGCATCGTTGATGGCCGATCCGCTGTTCTCGTCGTCTTCAGCTACTCGCCGTGCTCGCCCGTGTCTGAATCAACAAACATTGGAGAGAATCAAGTACCGCCACCGCAGAGTCTCACAGCTGCGTGTTGATCCAATGCCCTGTGCTTATCTTTCCGTACCTCCCCTCAACGTCCTACATCCCACAATTGCTACAGTCTCAAGGTCTCTCAGCTAGGTATCTGCAGTCCTTCCCGTGCAGGTGTTCCTTGACTCTCTCCACAGCCTCCACTCCCCCCATCATCCCGGCTTGTGGTCTCACTCTCACTCTCCCTCGCGCTCACTATCTCTCAGACTCCTACCTACCCCTAGTGTGTCTAGTGACACTCCCCCAGCTACATAACCCCCCAGCTCCTCTCCGCTCCTCACCTGGCCTATCTTCCGCTCCTCTCCTCTCCTCATCTTATCGTAACACGCTTTGGATAGGCTCTCACCAACAACACTGTTTGGCTTCCTACCAAGACAAAGATAAGGATCAAAGTCCTTTCTGCATCGAGCGTTCCTCGTCTCGAAGGCCCCAAGAATAGGGGGGCAGATCTCTGTACAAGATCACAGCCGCGAGCTGTGCTTTGCTGCTAGACTGCTACTCACTGGTCTCGACCAATATTCAATATCAGCACCCATTCAAATCGTCTCTCTCTCCACACGAAACTCTTTCAATCAGTCATCTGAGAATCTGCCTGACAGCATCCGCCCACCAAATCTTTTTGCCCGTTCATCGCATATCGTAAAGACATTGTTTTCTCCCGCGTCTTGCTGACGACGCCCATTCCTCCAACGTCGAACTTCAACAAGCCTACCTAGCCAAAGGACGTAACCCGTCAAAATCATTATTGATGTCGGTTGACCTTCGTACAAGCCTCAATTGCCTTCGCCATCCATCAAGGTTTATGCCCGTCTCGAGAACACAACTCTCGAGAGACCATACGGGTGATAGTATACAGAATTTAAGTACGTCGGGCTCACGCTCATCACTGACAATTGCAGCCAGAATGACAAAGCTATAATGGCGCTAACAAGCAAACCAAACAGATTCGTGAATAAGACAGGTTCTCCTGTCGAAAATTGAAGCCCGTCATGGAGCACGTAAGCAAAAGCGCCACCCTTGTCGAGCTCAAACGTTCTCTCGTGCCCCCGAAATGGGAAGATACCGTGCGTGTCATTGGCATGTCGGAGTGCAAGGAGGCCGGCCTCTCGCTGGCCCACGCCTTTGCTGCTGATGATCTTAGCCAGTATCTCCTCGACGCCGACGATATGGCAAGCCTATCGGCCGAGTCGAAGTGGAAGCTGCACGTCGACATCATGACCTACATCGCAGCCGCCCACTGTCTCAACGGTATTGTCACCACTATTGGCTCGGACTACGATGCTGTTGCTCTGTGGTGAGTTTTGTGTCTCAGTGTTTTCTGCTTCTCCCATTGGGGGGTCACGCTGCTAGGAGCCCACGACAACCCCAACCCCTCTTCTCCCGGGCCTTTCGTAGTCAAAAAAAGAAAAAGCAATGCTGGACTAACACTATACGGATCATAATAGGATGCCTCCTGGAAAGGACACTGACGGATGGTTGACCATCCTCCGCAGTGGGTTGTGGCGACTCTATTTCCAGCTATCCGTGGAAGCTAGACGTCGGTACTACGACGAGCTATTGCCTCTGCTGCATGACACCAAGCTGGAGGTCATGGGCGAGCGGGACAATGATTGCTACTACCTGGTCTACCTAGGGACCAAGCCCAACGCCCGGGGCAAGGGGTATGCGAGAAAGCTGCTCAACGACATGATTGAGAGGGTACGTTGAAGACCGTCACCTGTGTTCTCTTCACGCCCGTTGCGTCTGAGACTGAAAGACAAGATTTGGCCGTGAAACACCACTGTGTCGTGAAATAATCCGAAACTAACTCATGGAACAGGCCGACGCGGAAAACCGCGCCGTTTATCTCGAGTCCAGCTCTCTGTCCAACAACGAGTACTATCTCAAGTTTGGCTTCGAGTTCAAGCGCGAGATCCGGATGACGCGTGGAGACACACCCGTCAGCCTCTTCATCATGGTCCGCGAACCATGCGCGCACAAGATTGGGGGAGGCCAGACATACTCAACCGTGGTCTCCAGCAACGTCAAGCTACAAATCAATGCCGTGATAAAGGAGACGGTGCGGGTCTGAGTTGGCGGGTGCGCTGTCGAAGTTGTGAGCAACCCATATCCTTCCTTTCGACCTGGAAATGGCGATGTGATGTGTGTTTTGTCCGTTCTGTTTACCGTATCCGGAGGTGGTGTAGTGTTACTTGCCTCTCATGTGTTGACGATCCCTTCATCTATGGCGGCGGTCCTTGTGGGCATTGCTTGCCACTTGTGTCTCATGCTGACTACAGCTCGAGTTTCAACATTGACCTGAATGGGCGCGTCTGGTTCAACACCGGCGCTGATGCATGCGAAGCTTACTGTCCCTACCGCAGCGGCGATGGAACGGTGCCTTTGTCATTTTCTTTTTACGAATGTTTTTGGATTTCCTCCTTTTAGTTTGCTTGTAACTGCCGACTAGCTCTAGCCATTCATTAGAATACTGAACGGTTCACTCATTTCAATCATATCAATGGTTTGCGGTTCTTCCGCTAGTCCCACTTCCTTTTTCAGGCCTCAAATCGTGGCAGCATACTGACGTAGTTGCTGACAATTCGTTACTCAAACACCCCGATGAAATCTACCCTTGAGACTTTCCCCCTGCCCCCGGAACTTGTTCTCCCTGCCCAGCAAATACGCCAATTCTCTAACACTGGTCCGATCCGCATCCATTCTGGTTTCCGCACACTTTTCAACTTCCGCATCTAGTAGTCGAGGATAGCCCAAGTCTCGTCGTCGATGGTGGTGTAAATCAGACCCTGCGAGAGCAGCTCGTCCGCCGCCTCTAGCGTGGCCCGCATGGCTAGTCCCGCACCGCTTGAAATCTGGTTCAGGTGAACGCCCTCGTTGCCGCCGGGGGCATTGTTGATAAAGTTGAACATCTTTTGCGCGTTCGCCGAGACGCCCCTGAGCTTGGAAGCCTGCGCGGGGTTGCCGCCGCCCGCAGCCGCACCGCCGCCGGCGCCGTATCCGTCCCCTCCGTCGACGAACATGCCGTCCTCGCCTCCGCCTCCTCCTCCGGCACCGCCGTTCGCTGCGGGGCCGCTGCCGTCAGCGTTGAGGGGTCCCTTTGTGAAGTGCAGGTGGACGTAGGTGGCCTCGAGGAGGTGGTAATTGACCTCGTTGAAATCCGTCACCGGACGAATAAAGTGCGCGCCGACGTGCCGTTTTCCATTAAACGACTTCAACCGGCCCCAGACGCGGACGTGGCCCTCGATCTCGAGCTTCTCGTCGGCGTCGTCCTTTTTATCCGTGTCGACCCACTTCTTGACCTCGATGAGCCCCGTGCCGTCGTCGAGCTTGAGGGTGATGTTTGTGGGCTGGGGCGAGATTTGGCGGATCTGGGCGACAAAGGTGACCTGGGTGACGGTGGCGCCGTCGATTTTGAAGTCGGCGCCCGGGTAGGCTTCTTCGGCGTCGATGACTTGTTTGATTGTGACGGGGCGGAGGGATTCTTCGCTGTAGGCTTTTCCTCCGCCCCCGCCCTGGGAGTTGCCGGCACCGCCTTGGGAGCCGCCGTAGACGAAGCCGCCTGCGTCGTCACCGCCGCCTGCGCCGTAGGAGGTTTTTGTGAAGCCGCCGTATGAAGCTATTTGCGGGGGTGGGTGGTGGTCAGTTTGAGTAGCTTTTGAGGGAAGGGGGAATTGGGTTGGATGTACTCATTGTGTCTGTGGTATCGCTGACAAGGAAGTTTGTGTCGTTTTGTGTCGTAGGGATTCGCAGGTAGGCGGGGGTGAGGTTTTCTTGAGTAGAGGATGACGGGATGGTGGTGGTGGTAGGATATGTTGGGTGGTTTTGAACGGGAACGCGTCTTTTTGCCTGGCGACGCGACTGGGGGTTTAATTGATGTGCACGACGTGCAAAATGCCACCCGCTGCCCGCTGTGGAACGCTGGTGCCCCGCGTTGGGATGACTGGACGAAAGCTGAGGGTGGGGGGCTTTCACCTTGATGATGACATAAGCTTGCTCTGGTGGTCTATACTGGAGGGTACGTACCGGTTATCGGGAGCCGACTGACATCAGCTGTGGTTCTGTGGATTCGAGGTGCTCCAGTCGAGGTACCTTAGGTAAGTTTATACGGTGAGTGAATGAATGCCTTGCGTTACTTGGAAATTGGTGAGTAATCAATGAATATTGCGTACTAGGAGTTTGCGTGTTAATAAGTCTATGTGAGATGGGATGTATTGACATAAGTGAGTTGCAAGTGCACTGATGACATATCATTGAATAGTATGCAGGTATCAACATGTCATGATGTCCAAGTCTGCTAAACAATCTTCCCGACACAGGGCATGTCTCTACCTCCCACTCCCCATGTAGTAGGAGACAATACAACCCCTGCAGTGACTCTCCGAAGCTGCAAATCTGCGTCTAGGATGCACGGTAAAAAAAAATGCGAATCACATGGATCTCGAATGTCATAACACCTCAGGCCAACTGAGGTTCCATGAGATTCTCTCAGCGTTGGGTGACCGGTGTGGCGGTTGTCACTGCTCCGATTAGCCTCGGCTGACGGCGATTGCGGAGGGTCCCGCACCAACAGCGCCCCCACAACGGCTTCAACAGCGACTGGATCACTGGAGCTGGACCACCTGGAGGAAGTGACCCGACGCCTGGAGTGCCGCGACCAGGGAGCTTCTCCTCCTCTTTCTCGGGACTTTGGGGGTGGGCGAACGTTGACGCCGGCCGTTGCTTCTGACATCAACCATCCCAGCACCTCCAAACCCAAATTCCCCTTTCGCCTTCTAGTCTTCCATCTCCATTGTGACAACATCCCACCCACCAGAGCCACGCCATTGAACTAGCATTTTCTTTTGACTTCCACCGTATTTCCATTTCTTGAACTTGTCACTTGAAGCACCCATCTCACTATCCGATATACCCCCCCCATCGCCATCTTCACCGTCACCAGGCAAGGTGTACGTTAATCAACAAATCACCTCGCACATCACACGACATCACCAGAAACCGACGCCCACATGGCGCGATCTCAAACGAAAACCCTCCCGGTCATCCCCCTCGCCCGCGGCACCATCCTCCTGCCGGGCGTCGCACAGCGCATTCCTGTCACTGCCGCCCGTCCCGATATCCCCGCCCTCCTCGCCAACGTCTACACCCGCGCCGCCTCCGCCGCCCCGAACGAGCGCATCGATTCCGTCCCCATCGCCTGCATCCCCGTCTCCTCCCCCTTCGTCGGCCCCAATGGCCAACTCCTCATCCAGGATGCCGACCAGATGGACGAATCCCTCATCAAGGAGGTTGACCCGGGCACCGCTCGCAAGTCCGATCTCTACAATTATGGCGTAGCCGCCCGCATCACAGGCATCGAGGGCAGGGGGACTGCCGAGTTTGCTCTGCGTGTGGAGGGCGTTGCAAGAGTTCGGGTTGAGAAGGTCACGCAGGAGAGGCCGCACTTTGAGGCCAAGGTCAAGTACTTCTACGATGAAGGTCAGCCCGTCCCCTCTCTCCCCGAAACGCAATAAACCGCGCGCAATCGCTAACGCTTTGCGCAGTCACGACGGATGCTCAGATGCAGGAACTCTTTTCCCTCCTCAAACTTCGATCCCGAGAACTCGTAACGATTCTTCGCATATCCGCACTCCTCCCCAGAAGCCCAGACAGTCCCGGCGGCCTGTCTCCTCTGTTGACGAGGAGACTCGAAATGTTCATCAACAAGAAGGAGCTCAAGGACGCCGGTCAACTAGCCGACTTCATGGCCAACATTGTTGAGGCTTCATACGAGGAGAAACTGGAAGTGCTAGCGGCCCTCGACGTTAAGGTTCGCCTTGCAAAGGTCATTGAGCTCCTTGACCGACAGGTCAGCGGGATCAAGAACAACTTTAAAATCACCACCTTCACCAGCGTGCCCGTGCAGTTCCTTGACAAGATCAACGATAAGACATCACGCCGTGTCGGCCCCAACGGTGCTCCGCTGCCGCCCAACACCATGTTTCCTCCAGGCCCGAACGGCGTCATGGGCCCAGGCCAAGATGACGACCAGGAGCCCAATGAGCTGGAAGAACTCAAGAAGAAACTGGACAAGGCCCAGCTCCCGCCCGAACCCGCGAAGATGGCGCAACGGGAGTTGAGGAGGCTGAAGAAGATGATGCCGGGTAACCAAGAATACCAGGTCACTCGCACTTGGCTGGATGTGCTCTCAGAAATTCCGTGGACTGCTACCACGGATGACAGACTGGGTCCCGACACGCTCGCGAGAGCTCGCAAGCAGTTGGATGAGGACCATTACGGCCTTGACAAGGTCAAGAAGCGATTGGTTGAGTACCTGGCCGTGCTGAGGCTCAAGCAGTCAATCAACGACGATGTCGAGGAGCAGATCAAGCAAGCGGAGGCGGAAGCGGCTCCTCCGGCGGAACCTGAGAAGGCTGAGAAGGAAGAGGACGCTGAGAAAGCGAAGAAGGAGGAGGCCAATGCCGAGTTGGAGGAGCGCGCGAAGATGGCCAACACCAAGATTGAGGTTCTACGGTCGAAGCGGATGGTGGACCGGTCGCCCATCATGCTTCTGGCTGGCCCTCCTGGTGTTGGCAAGACTAGTTTGGCAAGATCTGTCGCCATGGCACTGGGCAGGAAATTCCACCGAATTTCGCTTGGTGGTGTTAGAGACGAAGCTGAGATTCGTGGTCACCGACGAACGTACGTGGCGGCCATGCCTGGTCTGATTGTTCAGGGGTTGAGAAAGGTCGGCGTGGCAAACCCTGTCTTCCTTCTCGATGAGATTGACAAGTTGGGCATGTCCAATGTCCACGGTGACCCGTCCGCAGCTATGCTCGAGGTCTTGGACCCCGAGCAGAACAACTCATTCACGGATCACTACGTCGGCCTGCCCATCGACTTGAGCAAGGTGCTGTTCATCGCCACAGCCAACAGCCTGGACACCATTCCAGCCCCTCTCCTTGACAGAATGGAAACAATCTATCTGCCGGGATACACAACCCTTGAGAAACGCCACATTGCCATGCAGCACCTCGTGCCCAAGCAAATCCGGGTCAACGGACTTTCGGACGACCAGGTCAACTTTGACAAGGAAGTCGTGTCCAAGATCATCGAGTCATACACCCGTGAATCAGGAGTTCGCAACCTGGAGCGCGAGATTGGCTCTGTCTGTCGTGCCAAGGCTGTCGAATTCGCCGAGGCCAAGGACGGAGGACAGCTCGGGACTTACAAGTCACAACTCACAGTAGACGATATCGAAGAAATCTTGGGCATCGAGAAGTTCGAGGAGGAAATTGCCGAGAAAACAAGCAAGCCGGGTATCGTCACCGGGCTGGTGGCGTACAGTTCGGGCGGCAACGGTAGCATTCTCTTTATTGAGGTTGCTGACATGCCTGGAAACGGCAGCTTGCAGCTTACCGGTAAG